CTGAGTGACAGTGAGGGTGACTAGTAACAGTGGGGGGGTGACTAGTAACAGTGGGGGGGTGACTAGTGACATTGGGGGGGTGACTAGTGACAGTGAGGGGGGGAGGAGGTGGTTGGTGCCTACCTGCATCTCTGCTTCCTCTTCTGTCCCAGGCTGCTGCTCCTTCCCCTCCGGCTCTGTGTGAGAGGAGTAAACAGGAAGTGATGTCACTTCCTGGCCCGCCTCTCCCATCACACAGAGCCGCATGGGAGAGGAAGCAGGAGACCTGGCAGGGAGGAAGTGTAGCTGCCAGGTCTCATGGGGGGGGGGGTGACTAGCAGAGCAGTAGGTTGTGGGGCCCCGTGCTGCATCAGGGGCCCCACAACCTATCAATTAAATAGTTTTATTTTATTATTTTGCCGTTCCAGTTGGAGAGATCTTTGATCTCTCCAGCTGGAGCATGGCTGTGCTGCTGGGCCCCTGACTGCCTCGGGCCCTCGGTCCATGACCGATATGCCCGAGTGGTCAGTCCGCCCCTGGTCAGGAGTAATTCTTGACCATTCCTCTTTACAGAACTGTTTCAGTTCAACAATATTCTTGGGATGTCTGGTGTGAATCGCTTTCTTGAGGTCATGCCACAGCATCTCAATCGAGTTGAGGTCAGGACTCTGACTGGGCCACTTCAGAAGGCGTATTTTCTTCTGTTTAAGCCATACTGTTGATTTACTTCTATGCTTTGGGTCATTGTCCTGTTGCATCTTTTGTTGAGCTTCAGCTGGTAGACAGATGGCCTTAAGTTCTCCTGCAAAATGTCTTGATAAACCCACCAATCAGAGTGCTCTGAGCCTAATTACAGGGCGGGGCAAGGCTTTATAAGCCTTCTCCCTCCCTGTAGAGCTCAGTCTGCGCGGAGCCATCGCCGGGTGAAGATGGATTATTTTGTTTTGCGCTAGTATTTTTGTTTTTTTTTAATTGTGTCGGTTATTATGGCATTTTCATTTGGCCTTTTTTGGGGCTGAAAAAAGAAGATTTTAGAAGAAAGAAAACATTGAATGGTAAGTTTTATACAGGTACTTAGTTAAAGGTCCCCCCCTCATTATTTTTAACACCTAAAGTGTTACATCTGCTACAAGTTCTTCCCATTAAGATACCCAAAACCTTCTTCGCCACCATCAGTGGTGTATCCTGGTTTTGTGCTGCCCCAGGCAGGACAAAACTCAGGCGCTCCCCCCCCCCTGCCACCACGCCAGCCCCTCCCCCCCCAACCCTTCCCCCCGCCCCGCCTTCTAAATACACACACACACACATTCACTGACAGATACGCATACACTCGCTAACAGAAACACACACACACACTAACAGACACACACTCACACACTCACAGGCAAACACACACTCACTGACAGGCAGACACACACTAACAGACACACACTCACTCACTAGCAGACACACACACTCACACATTAACAGACACACACACACACTAACAAAACACTTTTTTTTTTTTATTCACACCCCCCCCCAACCTCCTTACCTTTGGGAGTGCTGGGGGGGAAGGGGTTCATTACCTCCCTGGTGGTCCAGTTGCTGCTGGGCGGTCGGGGGGCGCTGGCGAGGGAGCACTTCCTCTGAGCTGTCCGCTCAGCTCCCTCGCGCGCCGCAGAGTGAGGCTGGGAGCCGGGTTGATGACATCATCTTCCGGGTCCCAGCCTCATTCTGCGGCGCACGAGGGAGCTGAGCAGACCGCTCAGGGGAAGAGCTCCCTCGCCAGCCGCCCGCCCAGCGCCGCCCGCACAGCCCGACATGTCTATTAGCCGCCAGGCTAACAAGGCATTTGCCCTGGGCATTTGGGGGGGCGGCGTTTTTTGCCGCCCCCTGAAAAATGCCGCCCAAGGCAAATGCCTTGTTTGCCTCGCGGCTAAAATGCCCCTGGCCACCATCAGACGTATATTCACAGAGTTTATTTGGCACAATAAACACCCAAGATTAGCTTTCCATACTCTCACACACCATAAGCTCTGTGGGGGATTGAGTTTACCGGACATTGAAACTTATTACAAAGCTGTCATACTAACTAAGATATATGAATGGGTGGACCCATCACTACACAAACAATGGATACATTTGGAAAACGACATGTTCACCACACCACTACATACTGTGCCATGACATAAAAACAGACGGACACTTCTCCACCCGACAATTATATATCCCCACACCCATCTCCATTATACCCATTAACGCATAATCCTCTCTTTCCTCCTAACCTTCGGGCCGCCACATTTCGTCCATCCCACAACTCAAAGTATCTTACACTGGGCTCTATCTTAGAGGCCAATTCCTTAAAACTGTTATCTAAACTGGTATAACATACTACCAACTCATTTAGAATCCTTTTTCTATAACAAACTCATACACTTTGTCCGCTCGGAAGCACTTCTACTGACAGGCAACCGCCCGCTCACCATCTTTGAAACAGAATGCCAGAACCAAAAAGTGAAGACAAAGCACCTTTCCATTTTCTATAAATATCTATAACTAGAACACAAAAATTTCTGCAGGGAAGAGTTGTGGATCAGCCCTCCCATCTCCATCAGGGGAGGCACCCTAAGGCTATTATATCTTCTTCCATCCTGTGAGTGTACCTAATAAGTGCATTTATATAATTTATATAGTGTTACACTATTTTTTTTTATTTTTTTTATGTTGTAACGGAACTGCTGGCACCCCTTCCGCTGACGAATGCCCCTAGTGCTTTCCGAGATCTCCAAGCACTCCACCTGACACCATAACCACTGCAGACCCCACAAACCGCCGCAGCATGGTTGGGGTCTCGCCATCTCCACCCACTCTGGACCCAAGACCAGGGTCCAGCTTCCAGTAGGTTGACCTTTCCGAATTCCAGAGAGCAGGAACAGGAACAAGCTCTTACAAGAGCTTAGTAGTGATTTAGCAAGGGAGTATGTAAAGCATAGCAATCCCTTGTAGCAGATTCCCCCAATAAGAGACGGCACTCCAAATTGAGGGTGAAGTAGAACTGAAGCTTTTAGTCAAACACTCTGCTTTTATGCACATTTTGCACACAAAGTACTGCCCACAGGGTTTTGCAGAACAACCAATCAATACGTATAATACCCACAGACACTCCCACACAAAATCTTCCCCTCTGCCTGTGATACAATTACCTTACAAAATGGGTTAATGTAATTATCACAGGCAGAGAAATACAGTTTTACACATGTACTGTAACTTTAAACATATACATTCAATATTCATAAAAACTACATATTATTATTCAGCACACTTTTATTATAAACATAGTCAAAATTTAGCCAATTCCATCCAGGGGTTAAAAAGTTAGCTGGAAGTCCTTTTATGACCGACCGCAAGCACATTTTCATGCCCAAAACAGTTCCATAGATTTGGGCTGTGCAGTCGGTCAATTTCACACTGAAAAAATGGCCGAGTCCCATTGCTGAACGGGACAGTCTCTGCAGCTGAAAATTCAGTGTAGGAGAAGGTAAGGGTCAGGGGTGTTCGTGGAACTGTGTAGCTGATTTCAGTTCCATGAATTTGTCTCCACACACCGCTGACCGCATTTGAATGAAAAAAGATGGCGCTGCCACGTGTTTTTTTTGTGCGAACAGCGGCCACCCAGCGGTCGGCAGTTTACCTACAGCAGGCTCCCTGCCTGGGAGGTAAATTGCCTGCACACTTCCACTTCTGGGTGGTCCGCCTGTGTGGTACTTGGTTCAGTAAACCCCATTTACTGAACCAAGTGGGAGAAGGGCAAAACCAAAGTATTTTAGAGGACAGGGGACACAGTCTTAAAGGGGCATTGTTTCCAAAAGTCACAGTATGTCCCCAGATGGTTCTTAAAGGGTCAGCAGCAGCATAATAAAATACAATATGCCTAAATACTGTATTTAAAGGGCCAAATCCCCCAGGAGCCATAGTCAGCAGGCAGGAGGCTGTCAAATAGGCTTCTCCAATGCCCAGGGGCGAGTTTGGTTTCACCACAAATGTATTTTTGTTGTGCAGGTGAGTACAAATCAGCGTAAAAACGCCACAACAACGTACAAATTGACATTCTAGCAAGACAATGGCATGAAAAACATTGCACATTTTCATATTATAAACAGGCTTAAACTTTTTGACATGTCACAGAATTAAAGAGTTGGGTTGCAGGATTAGGAGGACATGCATGCGTTCAGGTTTGAGTAAGTAAGCTTAAGGCATGTATAGAGAACGGTAAGCGTATCTCCGTGGACACAGTATAATCATGCGTAACCAATATTTCTGAAGGAATAAAGTTAAGTTGGGATTCTGTGATATTGCTAAATGAGGATATAGAATGCAGTTATAGGTTGCGGGCTAGGTGTCTCGGTCATCCTAAATGCTATTCGTAGCCGGATTAACTTTGGGGGTCTCATGCTGTATAAGACAGATGTATAGGTGGTAGCTTATATAGAGACATCGTAGCCTGGGGAACATGATGGCTGGCTAAGTTATATTATGGTCAGCAAATTAAGAAGGACAAACATTATGTAAGTGAGCATATGCATAGACAAATGAGATCTGCATCATTGTGAGGCATCAGAACATATAGGGCCAGCGTCCATGTGTGACTGGGTAGATGGATGTGGGGGGACTGCCTGTGGGTTAGTGGGTCACCCTATTCCTCCAGGGGGGATCTGGGCCAGTGGCACTGGGTAATTACAGATGTTGGCAGACAGCCAGGAGCATGCTGTTTTTCCTTCCAACCCAGGGCCTGCTGTAAGGCTGGCATCACTTAGCCACAGACTCAGGGGCTTCTGAAGACCGAGTCCTTTTCTGTTGGGACAGATCTGGGGGCCTTGGTGTTTTTGCACTGCCTGCGTAGTATATGCGCCGGGGTCCTTCCTCTGATGGACTTTGGCCCAGATGGGCTAGTGTGGTGAGTTGAGGACTGCTTCATTGAGGTAATGCCGAGGGTGTCCCAGTCACTCTCCGGCTGCCGCCACTTTGGATTCCCTTTGTGCTCCAGCTCTCCTGCAGCTATGTCTGTGCAGCAGCGTGTCGAGCTTCAATCTGTGCCCAGAAATGATCAAATAGCTTGTTCAAGCGGGTGATTAGAGGCTCGTTGGTGCTCTAACGGTACTCTGGAGGAACATATAAGTCGTTGGATCGCACGTCCGCCATTTTAGAGTGGCGAGCGGCCTTCAGGCATGGTACATGGTTGGGGCTTGTGTCAGTTTTCGGAGTCCACAGAGGTATGTGGATTGGGATGACTGGGACTGGGATAACCCCCGCCGGTCCTGGGGGACGGGGGTTTAGCTGAGTACCGTGGATGCTGCGTGCATTGATGGGCCGGGAGAGCAGCCGCCTCTACCCTGCTCTGCGTAGTGTAGGCCCCAAGCCTTGGCTCAGGCATTCCAGCGGGCATTTTGGGCATGCAAGGTATCCCCCGGTTCACCAACTTCTGTATAGCAAAAGGAGGTAGGTTCTGGCTCAAGATAAGGCGATTTGCCCACGATTTCAGCCGATAATCGGGCCCAGGCTCAGTAGCTCACAGATAGTGTCTACTCAGCCCCACAGGCAGGCTCCACCCCCCAGTGTTACACTCTTTTAAGTGTTCATTTTTGTAGATTCACAGCTATATCCTCCATATTTTTGGTTGCATTTATATTGATAAAGATCTTTGACAGTTAAAATGCATTGTGTTAGTAGTTAAAGAGCCCATCTCTACAGTGCTCTATTTATTTGTAAATATGATTTGGCTTGGCAGACCTGACCCTGATTGTGGTTTATAGCCCTGCTATTATGTGAAGGACTTGAGAAACAGAAATAGACAAAGAACTCTCAGGGTAGCCATCAGAAATGTTCATTATTTCCATGGGATGCCATGCCTAGCTTGCACTAATGTGTACAATATATGGCAGCAGCCATGAAGTTGAACTTTACTATCTGCTACCAGGGTTACAAATGGCATTATAATAAGGCATGCTTTTCACCTCTCTATGTACCATCTCCTCTACACTAGACCGCAGATCACAATTTACGCACAGGGACCAAAGGCTATTTATATCTCACACAGTTTCTAAAATGGACTTGAATGACATGAACCATATGGCTTAATAAGCTTAATATTTAACTAATGAATAAAAATACCTATGAGCACAAAGAACAAATACATTTTAACCTTTGCTATTGACAACCTTACAAAACACACATTGATTAAACAGTTAAGGAAATAATTCTCCCCACCTTGCTCCTCTCTCTCAACCGCACCTGCATCATACCTTCGCTACCCTTAAAGCCTTCTTCATGGCTACTGAACATCCTCTCATCCCACCACTTGTCTACTTGATCCCATCTGCTCACCTTATCAGATCTTTCTCCCCTTGTCTTGTACCATCCTTAAAGCACATTTTCAACTGCTCTCTTTCTTCTGGTGTTTGCAAATTAAACATGCTACTGTCGTACCCATCCTAAAAAAAGCCATCTTTTGACCCATCTTCCTCTTCCAACTATCGCCCCATATCACTGCTCGCTTTTTCCTCAAAGCTTCTTGAAAGACTTGTCTTTACTCGTTTGGCTTGTTTCCTCAATTCCAACTCTCTCCTCAACTCTTTTCAATCTGACTTCCGCCACTCCACTCTACTGAGACTGCTCTGCTTACAAATGACCTAACTGCAGCTAAATCCAAAAATCAGTACTAAATACTAATTCTTTTTGACCTCTCTGCTGCCTTTGACACTGTTATTTATGTCCTCATTCTCCAAACTCTTCAATTCCTTTGCCTCTGCAATACTGTCCTCCTATCTTTCCCAACGTTCGTTCAACGCCTCCTTGTATAATGACACCTCCCCTCGTCCTGTTCTTGGTCCTCTTCTGTTCTCTCTGTATACTGCCTCTTTTGGCAAAATCATTCATTCCCTTGGCTTCCAATGACATCCAGATCTCTCTTCACCTGATCTCTCCACTGTTGTACTACAACGTGTCAATGCTTGTCTTTCCTTTCTTCAATCTCTGACTGGATGTCCTCCTGATTTCTGAAACTCAAACTCTCTAAAACAGAGCTTCTTCTTTTTTCTCCTTATAATTCTGATCCTCCTCTTTCGCTGTCACTGAAAGTTTATAGTGGCACCTGCATCAATCCATCATTGCAAGCTCTCTGTACTTGTGTTATCTTTGATCCTGGCCTCACCTTTGTGCCTCATATCCAATCTGTTGCTTAAACCTGTCGACTCAACCTTAAAAACATTGCCAGCATCCATCATTTTCTTACACAAGATGCTGCCCAGGAGCTTGTTCATGCTATGGTTCTTTCTCGCATGGATTATTGTAATTCTCTCCTAACTGGTCTCCCCAGAAGCCGAAATACCCTGCTACAGTCTGTAATGAATGCTGCTGCGAGGCTGATCTTTCTCCCCTGCTGCTCCACCCATACTTTGCCGCTCTGTCGATCATTACACTGGCTTCCTGTAACCTATAGATGTCAATTCTATATTGTAGCGGAACCCCTTTTTGGCTGCCCTATTCCTTTTATTACTTGTTGGCCCTGCAGAGATTTTCCTGTGCCTAGAGTACACAAAACTCTAAGTAACTGGGTATGGACATACTTTGTTCGGTATGGGAATAACAGCTGACATGTTAACAACTAAAATTCACCATACGAACAAAGTACCGAATGAACCGGACCACCCTGATGTGTATAATGGATGTAATTTACCTCCCTGCTTGCGTTTCATTCCCTTGTACGCACGAACCCGCCGCCATTTTGGCAGCCGAACACGTGGCGGTCGCCATCTTAAATCCGCGAACAGCGGTGTTTAGTCGTCGAGTGTCTGGAACTGAAAACAGACACTCGACTAGCCGAACACCGCTAAGACCTCCAGGACCTCAGAAGGCACGGATGGAAACCCACGAACGGCCTGGCATTCGGTAGGATGAATCCCACGAACTAGTGGATTCATCCAGTTACCGAATGCACTATGGATGCTATAGCAATTCGGGACTTTTGGGGCACGAATGGAGACCGACCGCAGGGCCAGATATCATGGAGCTATTTTTGGCTACTTTGCCCATGCGGTCGGTCAAAACTTATTTAAGGGCATATTCCACCTATTTGGGGTTCATCTGAAAAGTGGGGGAAAATGTGCTGTGTATAATTGTATTAAAGGCTAATCTAAGGGGAGGAGATGTGTGGGAGGTAACGTCGCTGGCATTGGATAATGTACTAATTGTGGTGAATCCCTCCCTTGCATGGGAGAATCTCATAAAAGCAGGAATGTTGCCATTAAAAGTTAGTTCTACTCCTGATACTGTGTGTCGTCCAGTGATTGGGGAAAGTGATGGGATTGTATTGCTGATTGCGCTGGATATTCTCTTGGATTTATTACTTGTTCCTGCATCCTCTTAACTGTGAGAAATCAGCTCTCCGCTACATATATACTAACCCTTACCTATAAAGCTTTAAACAACTGTTACATTTCTTCACTGATTCATAGAAATGCCCCGTCTCGGTCTCTCCGCTCTGCAGGTGACCTTCTCCTGACCGCTCCTATCACCCTCACTGATAACTCATGCTTGCAGGGCTTTTCACAAGCGGCTCCTTTGCTTCAGAATAGTCTGCTTTCTCCCGTCAGACTCTCCTCTAGTCTTCAATTGTTTAAGAAGTTTCTCAAAACCCATCTGTTACAAATCTGTCATAGCTCTCTCCTAAAGAGCCACACTCAACTCCCACCTCCAGTTCGGTTACCTTTCTACCAAATTTTTGTTATTCCCCTTGATGTCCTTATACTCCATTCCTGTAGACTGTAAGCCTGTCTGAGCAGGGCCCTTATCTACCTGTTGTTCCTGTATCATTTTGCAATTGTCCCATTCATTGTTACATTCCCCCATCCATAATATTGTAAAGCACTGCTGAAGTTGGCACTTTGTAACTACTACTACTACTACTACTACTACTACTACTACTACTAATAATAATAATAATAATAGTAATAATATCAAAGGCTTCTACTACTAAATTAAAAGCTCCATGTTATAAGGATCAATAAAATAATGTACATATAACAAAAAAGACTATATCGCTCCATGGAGAAGTCTACCTATGTTTCTGGGGATATATTAGATCACAGGTCACTGATGTTTTAGATCACTGAGCAATCAGAGCAAATGGAGATATTGTTTGATATCAAGGTTGAAATAATTCTCGAGAGTTTCAACACATCATTTCATTACATACAAAGAAACAGTTCTTCAAATTTCTTCCCCATTCAAAAAGTATATAAAATGTAACAATGTTTATAATGACATAATGGCATACACATATACTTTCATTGATGTTACCAATTAATATTGTCCTGAGAGTTCAACACTCTTGGGGTGTTGTGTTTTATAATTTTCAACATTAACATTTCCTGTGCAAAACAACTCATTCTTATGACAAATTGTTTATCAAATGAAGTAAAATAAGTCATCAGGATCCCACTCTTAACACAAATCCTTCTATCCCCTCACTTCATACAAAGCCGTGTGATGGTGTCGCAGGAGACTCAGCACCAAAGGACATTGTGTAAGTGTTAGAAAAAAAAATGAAGTAATTTTTAACCCTTTCTGAGCCAAAGTCATGCAAAGCATCATTGGGGTTGACGTGGTGTAAGGAATTAAACTTTTTATTCCATACGCTATAGAATTCCTTTAAACAACCAGGAAGTAACAGGACCATTTGTCTGCTTGAAAGCCAAGGTTTATTTATCAAAGTGCTAATTTCTATTTCTATTGAAATGTGTACTATTTGTAAAATGTAATAAAGAGGACACACTCCTTACACGTAAAGCATTCTAACAAGTTTAAGTGCTTTGGTGGTGTGGAGTGTCCCTTTAAGTGGCAACAAAACCTAAGGAAATCTGTTCATCTTTGAAAGGAAAGTGTTTTGCAAACTTGTAGTCTGTTCTAGTTCCAAAGCATGCAGCGTAGGTTATCACCTGGGAATGCTGGTTAAATATGTTACAACATTGAGAAAATCCTCATCAGGAATCTCCGTAAAGCTGGGGTATTCTGGGAAAGTTATAATTGGTGCTCCATCTTTTCCTCTTCCTCCTTAAAATAAAAATACATAATTAAACATGATTAAAGACTAAACCAAGTTAATAACACATCAAAAGCATGGGTTCAGTAGTTTTCCTTGTATGATACTGCAAGGAAAGCAGGGCAGGAAGTTGAAGGCAGAAATTTGGTGAGAAGAAGGGAGAAGGGAAGGCGTAGAAAATAACAGAAGTTAGAGAGTGGCAGGTGGAGAAGAAGGTAAAGAAAAATAAAAGAACAAATAATATACTTTTCTGTATTGAAGACAATGCATAATGTATTTACCAAATACTTCATTCATTTGAGATGAAATGCAATTTGCAAGCTACAATGGCAAGATGTGCGAATGTATTAAAGGAACACTCCAGACACTTAAAGCTCTTCAGTTTGAAGTCTGTTATTTTTTCTGACAGTTTATAAAAGTGCTGATTTCTACAAAAACTTGGCAATTGTATAAATCTTTGCCACCTTCCCAGCTGTCAGCCTATCAGCCTCTGATTGGTCAATCCACCTTCCAACTTTTTTTTCCCCCATACATCCCTAAATTAAAACATGCAGAATAAGTACAGAGAAAACTGGATCAGCATAACGTGCCTGTCTGCCTTTGCTTGCACAGTAAATTGATTTTATTTTAGTAGTACTATAAAATTAACAATTTCAGGCAGACATATCTAATTTAGAAATCATCGCTTGCCATGAATTCAAAACACACCACACCTCTAAACCAGTGGCAATAGGGTCTCCTCAGCGCAGCTCTACTCTACCTCCGGGAACACGGACAATCTCCCAACCAATACATTGCTTCTCACAACAATCAAGCTGAAATGCTTTACATTTTTTCAACGTTCCTTTAAATTAGCTTTGAATTTACTTGACTTCTGCAAAATTCCCTTTAATAAACAAACCAGGGTTCACCTAGTACCACTCTGCTACTGACTCCTTAGTCTACGGTCTTCTACTGTATACATCCAAGATGTGGTTTTATGATTATCTAATATAGACTTTAGTCCATCCACAAGTTACTCCAGGTAGCAGCCTGCTACATTTGTATCAACCTCTTGATACAAAGTCAATGTTATATTGAGTACAATCTATTCACAGGACACTACAGAAAGCAGATTGCTACCTCTTTATCTAAACATATACTGCTATATATGTAACTTGTGGAATTCACAGTTTTTTTGTGTGTGTGTTTCTATGATACAGATCTAGCAGTCCTGTTATTATTTTGTATAATTTGTAACAGGCAATAATGAATAATCCAAACAGAAAGGGTCACAAGCCAAGTCAGTCTTAGGAAACAGGATAAAAGAAACATCAAACTGACAATGTTCTCAGGGAGGGGCAGTGTTTTATGCCCAGCTAATGAGTGAACTGCCTCAGGTGAACTTAGATGGACAGGTAGGAGCCACTGGTGATGTCCAACCCCTTAGTGCTGCAGACAATGCCAGGAAAACAAGGTTAGAATAAAAGTCAGAGGGAGGAACTCAGGCTTAGGATGCAGAAAGCCTCAGGTTCAACTCCCCTGTTGGGCACTTATGGCTGTCTGGATGGCACGGTGAGAACCGTGACATATACCTTGCTCAATAACTGTGTTATGTCAGACTGAGTGTCTGTTAATGTAACCGGTTAGTTAGTCAGTGTTACAATAATGCAAGCTCATATATCACAGGTTACATGGTAAGCTGGCCGAGACCCCTGGCAAGTAGCACACTGCTGATCATTCATATAGCTTAAGGAACTAAAAGTCAGGTGCAGTTGGGAAAATACTATAGGGATGGGTACGTACATTTTTGTTTTCTTTCCCCATGCAGTATTTGTTTAATTAACTGGGTTATTCACTAAAGCGAGAATTCAAACTATATTCAAAGTGCATTTCAAATTTAAGACAGTATTTATATATTGTAATCTGTGCTCGTTTAGTAAGGTCTGCTGTCAGTTTTCTTTATAAATATTTGTTACTGTTAATTACAGACAAAGTAAATATAGTACAATAATAGTTTCCAAAATATTGGTGACCAAGTTATAATTGTTGGTAATAATGCACTATTATGCCAAGATTGTTTAATGACTCATTTGAGTGTCAAAGGTAAGAAGAGTCAGCAGCTAGGGACCGAGTAAAGGTACTTCTGTGCGCCTTCAAGGGCACCTATTATCAATGCTTGGCGCACTAACTCGGTCCCTAACTGCTAACTCTTCTTCCCTTTGACACTCATACCCAGTGCAGGAGATTTGAAAATAATTCTATTGGGTCATCACCCTAGGACCTGATCGGTAGTATTCGCACAGTGTCTTATAGACACAGACATTACCTCACTGGAGTACACTACCGTTTAGAGAATACCTATGACCAGTATTCTTTTTCCCACAATTTCTCTTCTCACATCACAGGTCTCTATTGTGTAATACTTACTTTGTCTGTAATTAACAGTAACAAATATATAAAGAAAATTGACAGCAGACCTTACTAAACGAGCACAGATCAAATTAGTTATTAAACAATCTCGGCATAATAGTGCATTATTACCAACAACTAAAACTTGGTCACCAAAATTTTGGAAACTATCATTATACTATATTTACTTTGTCTGTAATTAACAGTAACAAATATTTATAAAAAAAACTGACAGGACACCTTACTAAATGAGCACAGATCAAATGTGTCATTATAACAATCTAGGCATAATAGTGCATTATCACCAATCATTAAAACTTGGTTACCAAAATTCTGAAAACCATAGAAAAAGTGTATCGACATTAGTGAGACAATACACAGTCTTAAATGCTTGAAAAGAAGGGCATATCAATACACTGTATTTAACTATTTTACAAGTGAGACTTGAATACTGGCTAAAAAGTTTCACGTTCTGTATATAGATTTGGTTGCTTTTCAAAAAAAAATATTTTGAGCACATCTGCACAATTATACTTTTTCTGCCAATTTTTTTTTTTAATATTTGTATTTACAAAAAAAGTTAAGTTTTAGGTAGGGCACTCAATTTTCGTCTTCTTATAAAAAAAAGGGTACTAAATAACCTCAGCATTCACCTTCCAGCTCGTACTACTGGTGCGTGAATCAAATACAAGAATCTGGGATGGCTTTACACTGCCACCTTGTGGTACTAGAAGCCAGTTTATACTTCTATTGCACCTCCTGGTCATAACACCATTAACGTCATATGACAAACAAAAAAAAGTTGATGTCCTACATTCCAAGTGGTATTCATTTTTTTTTATAGCATAAAAGCAAAGGAGAAAGAAAGAAGAAAAAGAAATAAGTAGATAAAAACTGATTTACTCACTAAACAATACATTTTAGGGAGTGGAGACAGAATTGAAAAAAAGAAATCCCCAATAATTCTCAAACACAGCTATACTCACAGCTTGGCTAGTTTGGCTAAACTCAATTGTTTAGTGGGAAAAAAAAACAGACAACAATCACCATAATTGCTGAATGTCTCTCCTATTCTTCACAGAGTGATATGTACTAACAAAATACAAAAACATTACTGTAAACAGAGTACTTTTTTAGATAAATGAAGAAAATAAACCTAAGATAAATGAAGAAAGTAATAAATCTATTACTCGCATCACAAGGAATGAGGAGTCAAAACAACAACAACTGATCAAGTGGGCATTGGGTGTCATTACCCTACTTCCATATCCTGGTTTGTTAGATGTAGGAATAAATATTTGAAAACAGGGGGACCCGACAAAGTCCCCATGCAACGTACACAGGTCCTAATGGTGAGAAGTTAAACATGTAGTAGTAGGTAGCGTGGGTACTCCATTCCATGAGCTGTCGGATGGGAAATAAATACAAAAAAATAGGGGGCTCAGCATCATTAGAGATTCAATTCTGAAACAACTCGTAATATACTTCTTGGCCACCCCTGAGACATTCTTCCTGTATTTGATACCCACATAGAGATAGAGGAGAGGTTACTGTAGTGCCCAAACATCTAAATTAAATAACCCATTCAAAGAGAATTCCTAAAGCAGTTGTATTGAGAGTGAGGACCCAAGTCACCTGGATATCAACTCTCAAAAACGCCAGAGATTTACCCACACAGAAAGTTAACAACTCAATATAGAAGGTAAAAATTACAAGTATTTTAAGCTTTATTCGATACTTAGTGTTAGACAGAAAATTACACACTAAACGTGAAACCAAATAAAATAGTGATGCAAAGAGACTGCAAGTGACAGAAAAAAGTAACTTAAAATTGAGAGATCTATGGAGCCTGCCTGATATGTCCTATGTATATCTGCTATGAAACTACCCAGGTATAAAGCAGCTGCTCCAGTAGCTATTCAGATTCACAATGTTAGATTTCTTAGAAATCTAAATAGGAATGTAGCTACTAGAGCAATTGTGTAAAAATAGTAAGTAAAAGAGCTTAAAGTGCATAGAGAGTGCAATAAAAAGAGGATTGGTACAGTAAAGTAGCCAAAAAAACTTTTATTGTTCTAAAATACACAGTAAAGTATTTTACTCTTGTATTTTAGAACAATAAAAGTTTTTTTGGCTACTTTACTGTACCAATCCTCTTTTTATTGCACTTTCTATGCACTTTAAACTCTTTTACTTACTCCTAGCATTTTAAACGTTCCTGGTTACTTTTACTTCCACTGGCATTTTTACTGTTCCAGTAATCCAAGAAATCCCAGGTGGGGATCATACCACCAACGCTTATCCATTGAGCAGTACCTCTGCTCTATCTTTGTGAGTATTATTTTATCTTCTGTTTTACTCTCTTACTCCATCACAATTGAGAGCACTATTGTTGCTCTTTACCTTTCTCTCTTGGAGCTTTGGACTACCAGACGGTGTTGACGGACGCACTTCCGCTGCATATCCCATAAGCGGGGATTATACAGCTGTACGCTATTCACACCAGAGCTGGCCATAGCTCTCTCAAATGTGAGTTATCTACCTTTCTCTATCTATTTCACACTAATCCCATCGCAATTGAGAGCACTATTGTTGCTTTCTATCCTCTTTCCGAGTTTTGGATTACCAGACGGTGTTGACTGAGGATGAGAAGCCAGCCACTGGTGAACTGTCAATGTGCTCCCATCCAAAACGTTTGTTGGTAGCATTCTGTTTGTTTTATGAAGAGTATTGTGTGAAATATTAAAAGAGGATTTCAAAACCATAACCTCTCACGCCATTTTAGTGTTAAACACTCCAATGATCCCACTGGCCTTGAATTTATGGCCATTGAGAAAGTAGAGACCTACTGGAGAGGAGGAGATCTTGAAAAGGAACTGGATAAAATAGAGGCTAAATGGATTTTTAACTTAGATACACTGGAACCTCTCTTAAAAATATTAAAATCCTCTTTTAATATTTCTTATATGTTCACTAAGCCGAATCTTAAATTTCCTTTTTGTTTGTTTTCCGCATGGACACCATAAAAAATAAATGACTCCTATAGTCACTATTGATTGACGTCCTGATCTTAAGTCTCTTTTGTTTCTTTGTGTTTAAATTCCTTTACTGTGGTTTTCTGTGTCCTATTTAATTTGAATCCCATACATTTCCCACATTGGGTAAACCCACAAGTCAGGCCTTTATTTATTTTCTTTCTGTCACGAAATGCGCAAGGCATTTTCGGCAATTGCCGTACATCGATCCAGCTACCGAGAAATCGTGGAACGCAAATCGGGCGCACTGAGTGGAACGCACGCGAGAGGTGTCTCACCTCCCCTAACGCAGTAAGATCATCCCACCGGCAGGAGAAAGTTCTCCCTCAGATTGCTGACCATCACCCGACTTTCTTACCAAACAAGGACTCAATTGCTGGGACATTACACTTCTATTCTGTGAGTGTGTTCTAATTTTTATTTCATTTTCAATAAATATGGAATTTTTAATATAAACACTTTGGACGTTTTTACTAACATTACCGATCATCTAGAGATCGTAGTACTATATACCTGTATTGGTGATATAATAGTAACTGTTAGTTTGTTGCTACTATCCGAGATTTCACTGATATATACCAGCATTGGTTAAATTATATTCACAACTTGACACTTATTGCTACTGTTATTTTATTGAGCAGAAGCACAATGTGTAGGATGTGATATTGGTACTGTTGCACTAAAAAAACATTGCTTATCATAGACCTTACTGGACATTATTCTATTTTTTTTTCATTGCTTTGGATTTTATTGGACTATCAAGCCTGAAGTTTTTTCCCACTTTGTATATTCAGAGTTTTTGCTGTTTAGTAAAGAATCTTTTCACACCAGATTCTTTTATGCAAGGCTGCCACCTAGTGTATTTATTTATATTACAACCAGTTTTTTATATTCTAAGTTCTGTATATTTTAAGACATTTTTGCATATTTTACTATTTTGGTAATCCATACATTTACAAGTGGTTTCGATATTTATATTTTAGAGTTTTTTTAATTTATATCATCCGGAAAGAGATCTCCTAGTACGTGTAGGCCTTTGTTACCTAGTATTATTCATTGATTTCTTTTAGCTTTGATGGGGGCTTTCTTTTACTAGTGGAAATCTCCTGCCTGTCTGTTTTTATCCATTTCTATCCATTTGTTTCCACTCCTTAGGGTCAGTTTATTTTGCCCACCACCCATATTCTTTACATACAAACATACACACGCACAGATAGACACTGTGTGTCAAGGTTTTGTATATCTGTGTGTCAGTGTGTGTATCTATGTGCCAGTGTGTGTGTGTGTGTGTGTGTATCTGTGTGTCAGATACATACACACACCGATACATATTGACACACAGATACACACACCTTGACACACAGACACACACAAATCAAACAAGATTAATATGATAGAAATTATACACTATATTTGTAAATTTGAGCTTGAATGCTTCCTGGTGGCATACATTAGACATTTTGTGGTTTTATGAGCATTGCCTTACCAGACATTATAATTGAGTCTAACATTATAAAAACATGTTTTTATTATTTTTGTTATGGTTATGCACTACCTTGCTGTAATTTTGTTTGTTATTGCATCTGAAGACAGCTTATTTGTCAGTTGTCTGGTTCCTTTTGTTATTACTGACAAACTTTCAGAGTTATGATATTGTGAATAAGACTTGTCTTCTCCTTTTTCTGAGTACCACTTTGCATATAGTCCTAATTATCTGTTTATCAGCATCATCTCTTCATATGGGCTGTAATTACACTGAAAAGTCACCCTTTTAACATTTTATGTATATATGATTATCATTATTTTGGATTTTTAACCTATGCAGGCCTTGTTTTCTGTTTAAAAATGATTGATATGACTGGACATAATACAGATTAATGAACAGCACACACATACAAATTCAGTTTTAAATTGTATAAGGCTCCTTAAAATCACCTATTTCAGCAAACAAATATGGGGATTCAGTTCCACCATATGGCCATATTGTGTGAAGCCCACCACTTCTTCAAAATACCGCAATATCAGTGGGTCGTACACAAATTCCACGTTGGAGACAATTTAAATAGTGCTAGTGCTAAAAAAGCTAAAGTGTATTTTAATAATCTGTTGTATGTGCATTATGATACAAAATGCAATTCACAATTCTTGAAAAATGCATGTTTCAGTCGTGCCCTCAATTCCCTTTTTGTCTTTTTGTTTTAATTTCGTCCATGCAGTTGTTTTGGTTAAAACTCTTCTAGTGCACCAAAATGGCACCACATTGTGCCTATTGGTGTACTGAAATGCAAAAACAGCTAAAATGTTGTGCAGCCTTATGACATGGTGAAACAACAACCATTAAAGGCATTGTAAAACACCACCACGTGTTGGAATACTTTTAGATATGGAAAAATGATTTGACGTCAATTTACATCTTCAGAGGTAGAAAGCATAATCACACGGCAAGACTCGGCCAGGCAGGGTGACTACTTTGATGAAAGGCATTTTCAAAAGGGAGGAGAAGCAGCAAGAGTAGTTTGATCGTAAAAAAATATTATTATTCACCCCCAGATTTCAAAATACTTAGAAAATTTTACTGCAGATGTAGGATTTATGCAGAACAGCACACACCTTTAAAGGAACCCTCTCAAACCCCACATTTATGCCTGTCTTCTCTCCTTACCAATTTGTCACCATCTGTCTGGACCTCCTCCACTTCATAAATCTGAACAAAATTGATGGTGCTTTGATGTATATGCATGTCATATACCTGCTCTATACCAAATCAATCTGCAGCAGGGCCGCCATCAGGGCATGAAAATTGTCATGGGCACAGCGGGCCTGGACTGCACATTCCCTATGTGCACATATATATATATATATATATATATATATATATATATATATATCTATCTATATATATATCAATTTTAGCTGCAGCTACCTGTAGAATTAGTTCATTCTCAGTGAGTGGGAGATCACAGTTACAGAGCATGCACCAGGGGCCAGTCCTGTGCCAGCGCAGCCTGCATTGCTCCCAGAGGGGATTGACCATGAATGCATGCTGCTCCCTGGACCTTGCCATGAGAAGCCAGTAGTTGCATTGAGAGTGTTTGTTTGAGTCTGAGAGATGGAGGGGAGAGGGTGTGCTCTCTCTCCCCCCTGCAGAGATGAGCTTCTCAAAACTGAAAGCTAGTACCACAGGCTGCAGTGCACACAATATGTGATCCAGAGACATTTAAACCTATTAAACCCAGCAAAGGATGGATATTACAATCTCACAGCTCTTGGACCTGTTCCTGGACAACTCACTGGTCACGTAGGTGAGTCTACCTGGCATTTGGGGGGGGGGGCGCAGTGCGAGTGTGGTGGCTCGTGGGGTCAGAGTTCATTATCAGGGTACTATAGCCTGCCAGGTACAGGGAGAGAAAACAAGTGTTACTTTAACCCCTTCACTGCCAAATCATGAACAACCCCCCCACACCCATCACTACTAATACTACTACTGACACACTACATCCTTACACACACACACTACATCCTTATACAAACACACACTCTGCAGTCACTATACAAACTATACAAACATACACTCTGCAGTCACTATACACACACTACATCCATACACAAACACACATTCTGCAGTCAGTATACACACACTACATCCACTACACAAGCACACACTCTGCAGTCACTAAACACACTACATCCTTACACAAACAAGGGGATGTATTAGCTGCTTAAAGGGCTCCCCTTCTACCATGGAAATAGAAGCCACTACAGCGATCACATGATTAATTAGGTGGGTGATTTTGTTAGCGGGCTGTTTTGACATGGCCCTCAAAGGAAATCAGACAAAATGTTAAAGAGTGGGCTGGTGAGCACATCTCTGGGATGATAAGTTTGACTGCCCCTGCCCAACATGCCTTTGTCAACTAGTGCCACTATCCTCAATATCCTACCTTTTCTGACTAAGAGTGGTAGTATTGGAGGAAGTACCGCTGCTGGTATGTGGTGAAAACTGCACAGAATCAGATACAGTACCAGTTGACATGCTGCCTGACCCAGTACTTTTTCTCTCTGCTTCATCCCTTATTAAAACAGACTTGTGATGTTTTTCCAGATGTAGGTTAATACTGACACTAGTGAGATGTCCCAAAACTGTCTCCCCTACTGATCCCTTGCCATACATTCTGCACAAAGCAAATAAGCCTTCTTAGAGCCACTGGAAGGGATCCAAAACTTTGCTGGGGCACAATACATTAGCCTCAACCCTTCGGCTTGCAGCTGCTGAAGATGTGGGTAAATTATCATCAGTGGCTGTGAAAGCTGTGCAACACTAGCCTCTTGCATTTGGTTAACTAATGCTAATGAAAAGGGTGGTGGTGTTAATATAGACATGGATGAGCTATGTGTGGCACTAGTAACAGAAAATGTTACCATTGGATGAGGCAATGCAAATGCAAACAGAGATGGACTTACCAAAGGTGGAGAAGATGCAGGAGGAGAAACCACTAGCTAGACTGCAGCTTATCTTTTTCCAGACATTCCTTTTGAAATACAAGTTCCTCCTGGGACAGAGTTAAATAAACTATGCCTGGTGAGGAAAGGAGCACTATCAATGGTTTCAACGCAGCCACGACCAAGACCAGGGGACACTACTTTGGTACTCTGCTCTACCTTTGCTCATCTCTCCCTCTCAGTTACAAGGCGAAAAAATACATGAAGTAATCAAACTCTTTTCTTACTGTTCTTTCATTACTTTTCACTTTTTATTTTTTCTTTCAGTCTACAGCCGATTGGCTGTGAGGCAATTTGGAAGGAGCAAGCCAGGTTTTTAAACCCAGGACTTGGTACAATTGTCAGACACACGCTGAATACCCCTGAGGAAGTCTATTTATAGACAAAACGCGTAGGGTGAAAGAACATCGTTTTTCCTGTGTTTTACTGATTGCCTTCACAACAGATTTCTGGGTCCTGGAGGTAGAATACAGAATTTCTCCTGAGAGTAAAAAAAATGATAGGCTTTTATTTTTCTATTATCCTGGGAGTGCATAAAATAAAGTGTTCTTTTTGATGTTATACAGTATTGTACATGTGTTTTGTTTCTTCTCTCCTAACAAGCACAGAAGTTGGCAAGTAGAGAAGTTCTACCAATATTTTCATATTCTGCCTGCTTTAATTTATGCTTGTGAGTGCATTTTTACACTAGCTATTATCTGGTGTTTTTTGGTCTGCACCATGTGTCGTCCTTTCTGATATTATTTTGTAGGTTGTTTTTTTTTTTCTCTATGTATATTCAGAAGATCCAAGGAATTTTCTAAACATCTACTGTTTTATAGGGTAACTTATTTTCATAATTACCCCCTTTTTAACCACTGGTGTTTTATATTGCATAAGGGGATTTTACATATTTTGCTCAGATATCTATAAGCTCTGCATAATATCAATCATATGTCATAGTAATCTTCATGGGAAAAAGTAGATATGGATCAATAAATAAAAGGTTGAAAAGAGGAAAGAAGTACATCAGCTGTCAGGAATGCCACCACTCATGATCTAAAGAACTGACCTCAATCCAAGTTTATCTTATCTGTATTCTTTCCTATACTAGTCCGATTGAGTCAAAAGTTACTCCATAGTGAAGGTGTACAAAAAAAGTGCAGTGCAAGAGTGAAAATGGGAAACAAATGCTGGATGCGTGTTTCGGTGCGGTAAGCAAACATTCAAAACATGCATGCATGTTTTCATTTGGGTATATCTGTTAAATAGTTAGTTGTTGTTTTTTTTAAAGAACTTTAAATTCAGTTGGAACTCTAGATAATTTTCACTTTGTGAATAAAAATGAAAATGTTGTGAATTTGCAAGGGAATTGCAAAAATAGCCAAATTGTAAATAAATATCCAATTCAAGGGGCGGAACTTAGCCACGGAACCAAGTGGTCGCACACAGGGAGAGACCCAGACCCAGAGAGTAACTCCACATGCTCGGATCATGCTGAGGGGGATACACTAGACCAAAGGCCACCCCTTGACATACAGGCTGACCCAGATGCGCTAACACCAGCCACAAACTGGACATTAAAAACCTCTTACTGGAACTAAAACAAATGTCAGCGGCAGACATGGCCATAATGAAAATGGAGGTCCAAGCCGTCACGGACCGCGTGAAATCCACAGAGGAAGATATAAACGACATTCAACAAGAAATAAAAGGCCTTAAAGAAACAGTATCACAATTAAAATCCTCTCACTCAACTCTGCTTAGCAAACTAGAGGCGACAGACGAGCGGAGCTGCAAATGCAATGTGAAAATCAGGGGAATCCCCGACGACATCAGCCAGTCAGAGTTGCTGCATTACCTCAGGCGACTGGTAGCCACCATATTGCCATATGCACAGGCCAAAAAACTGGCCATCGCAGAGATGTTTCGCATCCGCAAATCACCACAGGCATCCCCCCAAACAACCAGGGATGTAATCGTCAGGGGCCACACTCAAGCGGACAGAAACGCCATCTTCGCAGCACTAAAGGGCAAAACACCACTGGACTTTGAATCTGCAAGTCTTACCTTTTTATCAAGACTTAACACGATCCACACTTCAATGGAGATGAAACCTACGCCCAGTGACCTGTCGCCTTCAAGACGCCAAGGTAATCTACCGTTGGACAACACCCAAACCCTTGTCTGTGGATCACAACGGCACTACTCTGCATCTCACCTCCACCCAGGAGGCGGACTCCTTCCTCAAGGCGCTGAAGCTCCCACCGAGACCAGATGAGCCCACCAGCTCCCATACATGGGACTCCACCAGAACTGTCCCCTTTGTACCGAGGAGAAGGGAAATCCCAATAGCGGACACTTGATGTAAATGACTGCTGCTCAGCCCGCTGACAAAAAGTTACCAGAGTTAACAATAATGTTTTTCTTTTACCAGTTCTACGTTTACTTATATACCAAGGGTTTAACACCAATTAGGGAACCCAGCAAGGCACACGCCCATATAACACTTCCTTAAATTAAAGGGCCACCTCACAGGCGATGACATACCGATAACACCATTACCGGGCACCGCAATACCCACAAAAGCCACCGCCAAGCCGGAGCCTGCTCATATACCAATAGTACACCAAGATAACTACACATAACTTATCACCTTAGGGAGAACTATGGCAACACAACGATGGATCAAGCAGGATTGTTGTAACATGTAAAATTAACCTTATAAAAAAACCTGTGCACTGTCTTTTAATGCCAACTGTTCATCTATGTTATATGCTGTTGTGGCATCTTCATCACTTGTAATAAGCAATTGCACAACAAAAATAAAGAAAAAAAAAATCAAATTCAAGTCCTTTTCCAAGTCAGATGCATTGGCCTAAATGTAATTAACAATTCACCTAATTTCATTTTTTAGTATAAAGACCCATTTCGTATACTAGTCTATATAGAGCCAGGGTTAGTCTAAGGTTGCCCAGTGCCAGATTGGGGCCTTCTCCTAGAGCATTGGTTTCTTTTTCTGTGAGTGGTAAGAGTTGTGTTTCTGAGAGCGTATGAGGGTATGTGTGTGGAGGCGGGTGAATGCTGTATGGGGGGATGCTAAGTGTGTGTGTGGTGACTTAATTTTGTGTGTATAGGGAGTTTGAGTGTGGCTGAGTATTGACTGTGTGGAGAAGAGTTTAGTGTGTCCGAGTGGTGTGTGTATTTCCCCCGTTACCCCTGCTTACCTTCACTGGTTTTCAAGTGGATCCCTGGTTGTCCGGGGGATGGGGAGCTCCATTGTACAGAACACTTTGAGAGCTTCCTCGTAGTTCTGGCGCTAAGTTACTCTCAGTGGCGCTCTGAGTTATCCAGGGACTGTGTTACAGACCACGGTCCCTCAATGAAGTGAGGGATCGCAGGGGGATTTTTTTTATTTCCCTTCTGGCTCGAGGAAGCCCCACCAGAGCTGGAGCTCCAGACCGAGGGTAATCTTTTACCAGTAATCTTTTTCCAACTCTGTGTAGCGCATTATTTTAAATATCTTTATTTTTTCACTTAAATTACAAACATATAACATACTTTCAGTTTAAATTACTATACTATATTGCTATATTTACAGTTTATGCATCTCAAATATAAAACCAATTTTTTTTCCATTTTGTACAATAAATGTGTTCAGGTCAAAAAGATAGACAAGTTGACCTCATTCATACTCCTACAGAAAACACTAACTTGCCTAACAGAAAGAAGGTGCTATTGGGGATTTAGTGGGGGTATGGGATTTAATCTTTTGATCTTAAATATCTAACCCAAGGGGCCCAAATTTCATCATATTTCTCTTTGGATATTCTATCTAATGCTATGCCTGCTTCCATCCTATATTGGAAATCCACTTGTGTGCGAATTTCATGCCAATTTAAGGGACCTATGTTTCTCCAGTTCCTGGCCATAACTATTTTGATTGCCATAAAAATGTGAATCATGAGAATTTGTGTAGCGCATTATTTTGATAATATTATTTTATTATTATTATTATTATTATTACTATTATTGAAACAATTCTTGGCAAGGGACCTGCAATCTGACATGGAACTGGTTGGAGGGATGCGCAAGTATAGGACTTCCCTGGGTTCGTCATGACCTCGCTTCGCCCGTGCTAGCAAAATTAGGGAGACAGCAGAGAAATATGCACATGATGACCAAAGTAGTCATAGAAGTTTAGCATGTTGTAAAGTAGACATGAAGTGACAGCAAAAAGATAGATGAGTGAAAGGTTGAACTTGTTGGACTTGGGTCTTTTTTTAACCAGCATTGCTATTCAATTCTTTATTTTTATAAAGTTAATGATGCTCACAGATACCATATTTAAAATTGAACTGTAACATATGACTTTTTTTTTTTTTTTTTACAGCCAGATATCAAACTAGAAGTTAGCTTTGGTTAGGTTTAGCTATTTTTTGAATTCTATACATAGTTACATAACTGAAAAGAGACTTGCATCCATCAAGTTCAACCGTCCTCACATCTGTTTTCTGCTGTTGATCCAAAAGAAGGCAAAAAAACCCAGTTTGAAGCACTTCCAATTTTGCAACAAACTAGGAAAAAAATTCCTTCTTGACCCCAGAATGGCAGTCAGATTTATCCTTGGATCAAGAAGCCATTACCCTACATTGAAAAATTATATCCTTGAATATTCTGTTTTTGCAAGTATGCATCTAGTAGCTGTTTGAACATCTGTATGTACTCTGATAAAACCACTTCTTCAGGCAGAGAGTTCCACATCCTTATTGTTCTTACAGTAAAAAATCCTTTCCTTTGCCTTAGACGAAATCTTCTTTCTTCCAGTCTAAATGCATGACCTTGTGTCCTATGTAAAGTCCGGTTTGTGAATAGATTTCCACACAATGGTTTGTATTGGCCTGGATATATTTGTATAATGTTATCATATCCTCTCTGAGACGAAGTTTTTCTAAACTAAAGATGTTTACATTTCTTAAGCTTTCTTCATAGCTGATGTGTTCCATTCCTTTTATTAATCCTGTAGCCCGCCTCTGCACCCTCTCCAGTGCCAAAATATCCCTCTTTAGAACAGGTGTCCAAAATTGCACAGCATATTCAAGATGTGGCCTTACCAGTGATTTATAAAGAGGCAAAATTATATTCTCATTCCGAGAATGAATGCCCTTTTTCATGCATGACAATACCTTACTGGCCTTAACCACTGCTGATTGATATTGCACAATATTGCATAGTTTGTTGTCTATAACAATTCCCACGTCCTTTTCGTGTACGGTTATCACCTTTTTTTTTTTTTCATTTCAGGGCAAAATAATGCAAAATACAAGGGCACTCTAAGCAACAAAACTACTACGGAGTGCTGTAGTAACATGCTTAGTTGTCAAATCATTATTGAACACTTTGTCACCTTCCTGAGTCCCCTTGGTGTCTGCGATCTGGTCATTTTTTCAGATATCTTTATAGTGAAAGCCCCTATTTTCACATTTAGCAATATCAATTCTACCAGTTTTTGGATGGAAAGCAAGTGAATTCCCTTCAATTAGGGATAAAATAGATAGATTTAATGATGATGGGGAACTTCCATTTTAGCTATATTTTTAGATGGGGCAAGCCTGCAGGTGTAGGATCTATAAAGTGTCACATTATTCAAAATCTGTGTTCATTATCGTGGGGACCGCACTAAGGTACCACTGGTACTATAAGCACTAGGGTTCGGCCAATATTATCGGCAGATATTTCCCATTTTCAGCAATATCGGTATCAGCCTATAATGATACCGATATTCCTGATAATGCAGACATTGGCCTGGACCCCGCGCACACTATCTGCAGTATCTTTTTGAAACTCTCACAAGCTCTCAGCCATAAATGGCACACTGTGCTCAAAAGAGTTGGAGGGATGGCAGAAGACAGCGTGCGCTGGGTCCAGGCTGCTGTCGCTACAATGTGAAATTCCATTGTAATGCCCCCCTCCCTGGCCACATGTAAAAGGCAGGGAGGGGGTCAGAGGTGTAACTAGAGGTGTAACCACCAGGCCCCAATGCAAAAACTGCACTGTGGCCCCCCATGTGTTTCATCCCCCCCCCCAGTCCCTCCATGTTTCTTACCCAACCCCCAGCACCACCATGTGTCTCTTCCACCCACCCTCTCCATGTGTCTCTCCTACCCCCATACATTTGTAACAGACAGACACTCACAATCAGACAGACACTGACTGACAGACAAACACTGCATCCACGACTCAAACATTCACAATCATCTAACAAACACACACTGCATCCACTACACACACCCACAGTGAATCCACTACACAAACACTCACCCTACATCTACAGCACAAGCACAATATTCTTGAAAACATAAAAAAATCTGATTGGCATGTATATTTTGTACATTTACCACTCAATAAAAGAAATCTAGAAAGATTTGCAAAAAAAACCCATATTGAATAATAAACATGTTCAGTTAATAGCAGATTTGTGTAGAAATAGTTTCTATTTTCAAAACCGTAAACGTAGAGAATATCGGTACAAGTTATCGGCTAACGGCCTAAAAGACCACAGATTATCGGTTCTATAAAAGGAATATCGGTCAATTCCTTATTAAGCACTACAGCACATTGTAGTGGTTATGGTGTTTCTACTGCTAGTTAATTTAGCTTGTGTCTTAATTCACTCCTTAGTATTAGAATACACACTTATACACATCTGCAGTATAACATTAAGTGCAAAAGTAATGAAGTGCACTGTATTTTTAAAGTGCAAAAATCAATCACTACAGTGCACTGTACCTTTAAAGTACCACGCAAATAAGAGTACTGTATATGTAAAGTGCAAGGAATAATAGTGCAAAATCTATTACCATATTTTTAAGTGCACAATCTACTTGATAATTGCAATAAACAACTGTGCAAATCTTATTGTATTTAAAGGGCATCAAATTATCTTCAAATGTTTTTATTAATGAATTTTCAATAACACAATAAAAAAAATTACTAATATAATAACAAGGAATAATTGTAACTAATATCATCCGATGCTATAAAATAGACACACATATATATATATATATATATATATATATATATATATAAATATATATATATATACATGTACATAAATAAATAAACAAAGTAATATATTGAACAACTAAAAAGTAACAGTTGAGAAAGCTTTGTATAAAATAAAATAAAAAAAATAAACAATTTCAATGCTCATATATATGAAGCAGGTTTTAATTCGTATATAGTGCTGTTTGGTTGGATGTGGTGTAGATGATACTTATAAGCCAAAACGACTTTTGACGTCCCTTTACCAGCTCATCCAATCTTGTTTCAGCAATTCTAAAAACACAGAGGGAGTCCTAGAAGCTACTTCACAACACTTTAACTCAAATAGGCTACGCAAGTCCTCTGTCGTGGATGGAGTGTCAGACGTCCAGTACCTAGAAATAGCTGAAGAAGCTGAAATTAATAGCTGACCTTACACAGGGATAGGCAACCTTCGGTACTCAAGATGTTGTGGACTACATCCCCCGTAATGCTCTTACACCAGTAATGCTGGCAAAGCTTCATGGGAGGTGTGGTCTAAAACATCTGGACTGCCGAAGGTTGCCTATGCCTGACCTAACATAATAATTTTAACTTTAGGTAAACCCTCTGGGAATTTCTTCAGGAGACACAACTCGGGTGTAATGTGTGGGATTTGATCTGTAATAAGGTGCATGAGTGTGTGTAAATTGGCCCAATATGTTTTTAATTTAGGACATGTCCAAAATGTGCAATAGTGTGCCTACTTGTCCGCACCCTCTCCAGCATGTATTATTAGGGGATAAGGCTAACTTAAATAATTTGGAAGGAGTAAGGTACCATCTAAATAGGAGTTTGTAATGGGATTCTAAAAGCGCCACAGACTGTGTTATGCTCCGTAGCGCCAACAGAAGCCCATGCCACTCTTCAATAGTACATTTTTGTTTTGTTTTTTTATTCAGTTTTCTTTCCCACTTTGTCATATAGTCCAGTTTTGGACCAGGTTCCCCAGAAAAATAAGCATAGCACATTGAAATGGTTCGTCTACGGTCAGGATCCAAGCGATATGTATTATACTAGATTAGACATGTTTACTTTACGTTCTCCAAGACGTTAAAGTGTTCACTAAGCAAATTTACCATTTGTCTATGGATAGGGGCAACAGAGGCATCCAGGCCAAATTTTGCCTGTAACTGGTCAAATATGGGTCAGATAAAAAGGAATTGGACAAAAGTAAATCATTAATATGTATGACAGAGTGCGAAAGCCAAAATTCCACATCTAAGTCAGGTAATGCAGATCGCAACACCGCTAAGGGGGTAGCTCTGGACCAGGTAGTGGAAGGATTAATCTTGGTGTATAACACTCTCCAAGCCTTAATAGTGGCTTTGGTGGTTGGATACATGTTCACCATCTGTGGTCGAAGAGCAGGGGGTAACCACAAGACCTCCCTAATGAAGTAAGGTAAGATTTTGGCAGCCTCCATAAATTTAAGGGCTGCAGCAGCATTGGTCACCAAATAATAGTGATTAAAGTTTAGTAAACCCATACCCTCACAAACTCTGAGTTTTTGCAAACTAGCCAATTTGATCCTACATGTTTGTTTGTTCCAAATGAGAGCCAAGCGTGTAGAATGAACCTTCTGAATAAAAGAGGAAGATATGTTTGGGGGAATAGCTCTAATAATATATAAAATTTTAGGAAGGAGAGTCATTTTTATCTAATTAATCCTGCCTAACCATGAAATTTCAACACTACACCACCTTTCAATATGTTCCCTAAAAGAGGGACAGATTTTTGCCAAGTTGTAAGTATGCAGCTTTGACAGGTTCTTGCACAAATTAATGCCCAAGTAAGATAAGTAGGAATCCCTCTAGTCGAAGTCAAAAGTTTCTTTAAAATATCCAATTCTTGCATGGGACAAAAAAAGAAAGTGAGACAAAAAAAGAAAGTGAGTTTTATTAGTATACAATTTATAGTAGGAAATTTCGCCAAATTCTTGCAAGATGGACATTAGAGGTTTTAGAGAGGCCAAAGGATTTTTTTAGTAACAAAATAATATCATCCGCAAAGAGGCCTATTTTATGTTCTCTGTCTCCTACCACAATGCACTCTATATTAGCACACTGTCTTTTTGCCTCAGGGTTCCACTGCCAGCACAAAAAGAAGTGGTGACAATGGACATCCCTGCCTGGTTCCATTGGATAAAGTAAAACTATCAGAAACAAAGCCAGTGGCATATAATCAAGCTATAGGATTGCAGTATAAAGCAAACACAGCCCTGATGAAAGGATCTGGAATATTAATTCGGGACATAACTTCCCTAAGAAAACCCCAATGAATTCTAACAAATGCCTTCTCCGCATCTAAAGATAGGAGCAAAGAAGGCGTGTGATTCAATTTAATTTGGTGGATCAAATTAATAAAACACCTTGTATTGTCTGGGGCCTGACAATTTAAAACAAAGCCCACCTTGTCAAAGATAATTAAAGATGGAAGCACTTTATCAAGCCGCTTAGCCAAAATAGTTGAATATAATTTTGTATCATTATTTATTAAAGAAATGGAAGTGCATCAAATTATATAGTGAATAAAAAAACTACTTAAAATGCTTCAAATCCACTTACAACATAACATTAAAAAATCCATTCAATGGAATTCAGCCAAAAAAAAGTTATTTGCAGCTCTTGCAAATGGTCTCTGCCCAGGACAGGAATTGAATCAGCCAATCACAATGTGCATTTAATTTCCAAAGCACTGCTGAGCATATGCAATAAGCCCTGATTTTTGGGCACGGGGCAAGTTCCTTTGAATTGTAGTTCAGTTGTCAGGTCTATACTGTGTCAGCTTTCTAAATTCTTTTTTCTATGAGATAAAAGCCACTCAGGATAACTTACTGTGACTTAACCCTACACATTGCACACAACTTATGTGAGTGCCCAAAGTGTATCCTATTCAATGTCAGGCAGGTCCAGGTAATCAAACTTGCATCATACTGGTGCTTGTTGCCATGACAGTCAAGACAATGTGTATCTGCACGAAGTAATTTAGTCAACTTAGCTGATTCTGTGTACAACTACTTTGTTTCCATGACAACATGCTCATTTACAGACATAACATTCTGTTGTTTTAAGCTGCCTGAGAGTGACAAACTAGGAGACACAGATTCTGACGTCTACATTAAATCCAGCGAGAATATTAAGCTACTTCAGCAGATATTCATACTTTCTTGTAGATGTTAATCTTTCAAATAAGTTTTAGAGTCTCTAAAACATTAGATAGTATGCAACAGTTGTGCACTAACAAGGACAGAGGAGCTGTTTTGTTAACATGTTAACATATCTGGTGCTACATAGCGGACTGCATTAGAGTAACAGTGTGTTTTACACTGGCGGAGGCTGCGGTTTGCCCCAGAATCTAGGCAGTAAAGAAAGTAATCTAGAGCAGGGACAGGCAACCTTTGGCACTCGAGATGTTGTGGACTACATGTTCCTTGATGCTTTGCCAGCATTGTGGCTGTAAGAGTATTATGGGAGATGTAGTCCAAAACATCTGGAGTGCCAACAGTTGCCTATCCTTGAGTTAGAGCTTAATTTCTGATACTTTAATCAATATTTAAATGTTACATTTTTAGGGAAAATAAACTCAGATGACACTGTTGACAGTATGCATTGTCACACCTAGGAACTCTCACCAAATGCCCTGGCTTCCTGCCCATACCTGCTGGTCCCCTAAGTGATTAAATCAGACAGAGGAGGCTCTGAACACCCTAGCAATATTTTTGAGTTATAAATATGTGCAGTATGTGGGTGACATTTAACAGTAGACGAATAGCTGTATGCATCACCACCTCTGGACCCTTTAAATTAATTATATTGTTGTATGGATGAAATAGCAATTCCTACTACTACTACTCAAAAAGTCTGTGATAGCGTACATTGTTATATCCTACAACAGTAACACTTTTTGTTGTAACCACATTCTCTTTGTGTGAAAATAAAAACCATAAACAAAGAAATAAAAAAAAATAATAATAATTTTATAGAGAGGGATGTTTCTCCTGGCACCATAACTATTTCAATCAGCTCTACAGGTAATGGAGCATGTAGTGTTAATATTTTGTGTCCGCGACCCACGCGACAGGGTCCATGCAGGAGCTTCTGGCTTTTAATGCAGGAAGATACAGGAGCACAGAGTACCCAAAGTAAGAAATCACAATTATTAGCAAACATTTTTTACTACGGACTTTGGGGAAGCACGCTTTATTGGTTATGGTGCTTGGAGTGTTCTGCTAATAATGAAATAGTCCTTTGAGTTTAGTGAAAATAAATAAATTCACATGAAGCGTACCTGATAAAGTTGCAAACTGGCGATGAAGTTGTTCTATGATATCTACAGCAAGCAGTGGACGGATCTCCTGTTGCATGATTTCATCTGAAAAGCAAACCAGAGATGATTAGATGGTAAAACCTCTCAAGGGCACATATAAAGGAGAGCAGTGCAAGAATCTCAATGTAAGCATTTGTTCAGATATTTCATAATCATTTCAAAGCTACTGTTATTTATATCACAGTATGAATTGTCTTATTATTGAGCTGTGTGTCTGCTTGGGAGGGAATGTCTTTGTGTGTATTTGTATGTGTATATATTGTGGTGAAACTATCACTGGTGCTACAGAACCTAAGGCCACATTTAGAGATATCTGATGGGCATCTCCAATCGGGGGCATGGCACATAAGACCATGCTCCTGCTGGATTTGCAGTTTGGCTGCGGTGCATGGAGGAGTGAGTACAGGTCATTACCTCCCAACTTAAAGAGAGCAGTACAGGGAGACAGAGGAGAAAGCAATGGTTCTACACAATGGTTCTAAACCTTAAAAATAAACAAATAAGAGAAGCGTTCATAATGAAACCACAACAAATGCACCCTTTGCTCAGTACACTTTCCTGATGAATATAGCATCCCATCGAAGACTGAGTTATTGTGTCAATTGAGACAAATCAGCAGAAGGAATCCTAATCAAATCTAGAAGTTCAGGATGGAGCAAGCCCCTGGGTCGGTTATGTCGGGCAATGAAATAATAGATTCTTAGTTGTTTGACTGCAGCTTTCTTTTTCTCTCTTTGTATCTCATGATATAAATAACTTTTAGAGTGGTTTCAGCAAATCAGTAAAAGATGAGTTAGACGAAATACACAGTACTATGAGTCTGTGACCAATATATGCCCTAAGCTTTGCTGAATACCATAGAAACCAGTCAGAAGGCAATGAATAGGGCTCCTGTGTGGATGGCTGCCTGAAGACCCTCATGCTGCTTGCGCCTGCTATACACTGGGGTTTCTTTGTTGGACACTGCACGTATTCTATTTAAATATTAATTTCTCATTCTGATTTTTTTCTATAGGGATTTTTTTTCTTAATTTCTTTAGTGCAAGTTTTGATCACTGATATATTTATCTACAAGTCACATACAAATTGTTCATGTAAATGGCTAAGCTCTCTAGAAGCACGGTACACATAGTGAGTGGAGCCAGTGGTATCCTTAAAGTTTTAGTATATTTGTATGTGTATTTTGTATGTCTTCATATAAAACTTGCTCTGGAAGACTATGGATAGTGTAAGACGTGATTCAACTTGTCACTTTTTGGTGCCATTATCAATGTCCACCTGACGTTAAAATTATTCTGACAATGGTACAAAAACATGGCGGAGAAAAGAGGAAGAAGTAAACCAATGATATTACATTTTTTTTTTAATTAATAATCTTTATGAAATACTCATTGACGGTGTTGAAATTTCACTGAAATTCCAACCCAGTCAGTAGATACACTGAGACAAAATAGGGACTACTTTGTCTCAGTATTGTTCCTTTGCTTGACAAAAGGGATAGTTACCTTTGTTATGCATGTCATTTCACCTAGCCGTCACCAGTGACAGCTCTAAGGAAAAAAGCTATCTGTGTGTATATATATATATATACAATACCAAAAATTCACAAATCTGCGCAGGAACCTCCAGGACGCCCTATAGTATCGGCTCGAGGGGGACTCCTTGAGCCTATAGCCAAATTCGTGGACTTTTACATACAAGGTTGTGTAAAAGAAATACCTTCATGCCTTAGAGATACTCAAGATCTATTACATCAATTAAAAGATTTCAACATTGAAACAAATGCGGAATTTATTTTCGCAACTCTGGATGTACAAAATGTATATACGGTTATACCTATAACCGATGGGATACAAGCTGTACGTGAAACTCTTTTGAATACCACTTCCTATGAAGGGCCACCTATAGAATATCTATTGGAATGGCTAATGATAACATTGACATGCAATTATTTTAGATTTGAAAATACCTTCTATGTCCAAACTTTTGGGACCGCCATGGGAGCAGCTATGGCACCCTCTTACGCCAATATATTTATGGCGTGGTTTGAACGACAGCACATTCTATCTAAATATCAGATTCACATATTGAAATATTTTAGGTTTGTGGATGATATTTTATTAATATGGAAAGGCACAGAAGAGGAACTCAATACCATGGTTACTACTATCAACAATTTACAGACACCTATCAAATTAACTTTGACCACTGACAAGAACACGATTCAATTTTTGGACGTGTCCCTATTTAAAACTGAGAAAGGCATTGGCTATACTTTATATCGGAAAGAGACAGACAGAAATACACTGCTGTCAGCTACAAGTTTTCATCCCAAACATATGATTGAATCATTACCTATCTCTCAATTTATTCGGGTACTACGGTACAATACTGATCCTCAGAAAAGGGATATACAAGTACAACAGATGAAGCAGAGATTTGCAGCTAGAGGCTATTCACAACAAATTCTCACTAGTGCCGAAATCAAGGCAAAACAATGCGTTCAGAAATCTGAGACAAAAGACCCTCAAGCAGACCGTCTGTTTCTTCCACTTACTTTTCATACCAATACTCCACTTATCAAAAATACAATACATAAACACTGGGACATATTACAAGCAGATAAAAACCTGTCACCAATTTTTCAAAATTTACCGATTATTAGTTACAAATGTAACAGGAATCTGAAGGACATATTAGACCGTAACGATCCGGTACATTGTTATCAACATGAAGGTAGCAGCAAGAAAAAGGGATGTTACAAATGTACAGGGTGCGTGACATGCAGTCATATGGTTCCGGGCACCTCTTTTGCCCACCCACATACGGGCAAACGGATCGCTATTCAACATTACATTACCTGTACTACGGACCATGTGATCTACTTGATTACGTGCCCATGTGGGTGAGCGTACGTGGGCAAAACTGATCTTACTGTTCGAGACCGTATAAGAGGACACCGTTCAGGAATTACCACAGCCTTTCGTGACCAACACACTGAGAAACCAGTGGCAAAACATTTTTTGGCTTTACATCATCGTCTTCCCACTTTGAGATTTATTGCTATTGATCACGTCCCACCTCTACGTCGAGGAGGCGATAGGTCTAAGATTCTGCTACAACGTGAAGTATATTGGATTCACTTTTTAAATACAGCAGCCCCTAAAGGACTTAATGAACATGTCACATACTCTATGTTTCTTTAAACATCATTTGTAGGCGGGACATTTCTTATCTATTTTCTCCTCTAACATTTAATATTTAATATTTAACATCTCTTAATATTTTCCATAGTTATACATATTGGCATATTTTTCTTGAATGGATTGTTTACAGATGTTTTCTCTCCACCTTCCCTTATTGAATGATTATAGACCAATAGGTGGTCTTTCCATGTAGTCAGTTACTCTTACATACTATATACAGATATAATTATATGGTCAGCTAGGGATCTTTCTCCAGATTTATCTCTCAATGTGTTGAATTTATTTAAGTACTGTTTAATTTATTTGTTGTTAGATTCTTTTATTAACCTTAATTTAAGGTTTATATTTGTATTTACAATATAAGTCTACATTATATATTAACATTACACCAGGGGGATTCTCGTATCCACTAGCCATAGGATAAATTATCTATAGCTGTGTATCACTTATTCACCTCTTTATTTGCACTTTGTCACTTAGGTTGTTACACTTTTAATGGCTTGTGGATACTAGTAATTGCCTCATGGGGATAGTTAAAACAGCATGTATTAATTCTTCCATCTTGCTAGTCCTTTTTCACCAGAACTGCTCACTTCTTTATCACAGTAACCGGCATTGAATGGTAACAACACACGTTGTCAAGGCAACCATTCAATAATCCGCCAGACGTCCTGACGTAATGACGTCGGGGAGGCGGTCCTAATTCACTTCCGGGTTTCGGTGAGGGGGACACTCAACGCTAAAGTTTGGTAAGTGCACTTACACTTTATCTATATAAACTCACTAATTTGTTAGTTATAATAACCTTGAAAAAGACCTGCAGAGGTCGAAACGTTGGTTTTTCTTTTGCACATGATTTAAAATAAAATTGAATTTTTTTTGCACAAGTCCTGAGAGTGCATCTTGGATTATTCTTCGGATATATATATATATATACTTAGATCATATATATATATATAATAAATATATATATGATCTAAGTATATATAATGTTATTTTACACTGTTTTGAACTTTTATCGTTTTTTTTTTTCTCAGGCAGCAGGAGGAGTACCTGTCATTCCAGGCACTCCCCCTGCTGGCATTGCTATAGGCGGCTATGCCTTCCATGTGATCGCGAGCCAGCTGTCACATAATTAACTGTCTACACGGCCAATAGTTATTTAACTATTTGTCTGGTGGCTGCTAGTGCATCCAGAAGGTAAATAGTTCAGATTCTTTTTAAATTCTGGGCTCAGACTTGAAGCACTCGGGTACGAATATCAGCCATTCGGCAATGCGTGGTCAAGTTGAAATCTGAAATAAATTCAGGCTCATTTGGTGCTTGAATAACAAAACAGACGATGTTAAATAGTGTGAACAATTTCCATATTGAGCCATCCAAGAATGTAGCCTGATTCAGTATGGGGCCATTCAGGCTTTAGTGAATAACCCTGAATGAGTCTGTATGGCTTGGGAAAAACACTGACCATTGTTGAAACAGTGCCATTTGTGGTTTTGATGGTTCAGTCGACACCAAATCTAAAATTTCTGATGTTTTAGAGGATTTCTAATTTCATCTTAAAAGCGTCTTTATGGACATAGGACATAAAAAATTTTTTTAAGGGGTTAAAAGAATACTCACATACCTAAACAGGTTAGCTTGTTGGAGTGATTTATGTGTGAAGTGTGTGTCCTTTTTTTTTTTTTTTTTTTAAATAATCTTTTATTATTAAAAAAAACAAAAACATATAATTAATTTTAAATGACATTGCATTACAGCTATATGTAAATGTAATGTGTTGGATTACTTCATTTCAAAAACTCATATCATATATATCAAAACATACTATTCAAACATAAATCATTCATCCACATGTATTCCTGGATGGACAAGGAAGTTCCCTCAATCACTGTATAATAAGACCTCCATTTTTATAAAACAATACCATTTTTAGGTATTACTTTCAATAATGCTTTGCCATTCTTTAAGGATACTGCTCTCTTGTCTGGCCTTAGTGATTTTCCAGGACAGCCCTTGTTCCATACTACATTGAAAGCGAATCTGTACTCTTATTTGTGGCCATTGAGTCACCCCAGTTTCTAGTTATTAGTATTTTAGTGGCCACAAAAAAGTGAAATATCAGCAATGATTGTTTTTTGTTTAGTGTCTGCCATTTCAAGTGTAATAAAGCGATTTCAGGTTTCATGTCTATTATAATATTACCAATTGGCTTAAATTTCTCAAAAACCAATTCCCACATTATTTTTATTAGGTCACATCTCCACCAAACGTGAAGATAGTCCCCCTCTACTTTCCACACCTCTAACATTTGGAGCTTTAATCGCTCGAAAATCTTGCCAACCTGGTAGGTACAAAGTACCAAAATTGTGTCAATTTAAATTGATTTTCTAAGATGTTAGTGCTATGGATTGAATCATTATATCTTTTCAATGCCTGAAGCCATTCTGCTTGGTTAATTCCATATGCAGCATCCAACCCCATTTTTTCCTAATTTCCCAATTCCTATCATCATATTTCAAACTTAAACCGCTGTAAACTCTAGACATTATCTTTGTTACCTTTTGTCTTCCAAATATCGCTTCTAACTTTTTCGCTACAGTTTCATTTCCTCTAAATATAGAGGCTTCCAGGAAATGCTTAACCCTCAAATAAGGAAAAATTTCTCAGTTGTTCAAACCAAACTCCTGTGCTAGTTGGGCTAAATTATTAACTATTTTGCTTATGATCAGTTGTTTAAAATAGATATACCTGATTTTCTCCAAGATTCTAAGTTCATTATCTCAAAAATTATTCTGAACTACAGGCAGGATGCTCCCTAAAATAGCATCAAAATTATTACAACTCCAATAATGGATTTCCCTCATTTAATTCTCTTCAACCTTCCCAGCTTGCATATTTTATTAATACGTCATATTATCATTAAGTATGCTCCTCCTCTTAAGTAAAAAAAAATTAAACTTCTATTAGCCTGAATTGGAGGTACATATTAATGTGATAGTGATGGCCTTGCTTCTATAAATAATATAATAATAATAATAATAATAACAAAGTATTTAACCAGGAAAGGTACATTCAGATTACTCTGGTTTTCAAGTACGTCCTAGGCATTAGCCCACTGAGCTATCTCACCGGCCTAATAAATTATGTGAGTTCAGATGTGATATTATATCTTTAATTTTTATATATTCAATACCAAATCGTCTGTGCTCTTATTTAATATACTTTTACACTGTGTTGTTTTTTCCTCCTTTCCTTCTATCCCTCTCCTTGCAATCTTGCCCAATATTGCAGGAAAAAGAGGAGAAAGAGAGAAAATATATATATATATATATATATATATATATATATATATATATACACACACACACACACACACACAGATAAAAAGTATTTAAACTTTAATAGAGACACTATTTTCCATGCCCTAGTGAACTGATCTATGTTCGGGAGTATTCCCCCGACGGTAGACCTGCTTTCTAGCACATGCTTGCTACCGTTTTTCCCCAAAATAAGATTTCCTCCGAAAATAGGTCCTAGTATGTTTTCTCTTCCTTTGCCCAATATACGTTTTCTATTATAACTCTTAATTTCATGAATTATCATCCTCCTCATATGTGAAAGATTACACTTGCTATTAATTGAAAGTGCAAAACATCATGATTTTAGTTCTATAAGTACACCAAACGTATTAAATTATGTGAATTCTGATGTGATACAGTATCTCCAATCTTTATATACTCACTACCATAAAGTATGTGCTCTTATTCAATATTCTGTTACCCCCATGTTAGAGTTTTTACTCCTCTATATGCAATAATTTTACATAGTGATACATCTTACGCATCATTTCAGATTAAAACTTATTTAATTTTATATATATATATATATATATATATATATATATATATATATATAACATTTTATATAGAGAATTGAGTGCCTATCTAATCATTGCTGGCCCCCATCCCCATCTAGACATCCAAAAGTATCGAATTTATCTATTTTATATTATGTGCTTTTAACCAAACTGACACATTTTCAGCATCTGAAAAGCTTTCATGTGCTATAATCAATTTAGTGGAGTACCCCCACTTTTGATCATATTTTTTCTTAGAGTGTTAGTGAAGGCAACAACAAAAGCGTTTCTCTTTTTTTTTTGGTGTTCCAGGATAAATCGGGGAAGATTTTTACATCCTTAAATTCCAAATTTGTCCATTGTTTTCCCCTATTTCTTTGTACAACTTGCTCCTTAAAATTATACTGGTGAAAACAAATAATTATGTCACTAGGAGCACTATCTTGGATCCCTCTTGACTTTGGTAGACAGTGAAATATGTCCATTGTTTTGCCTTCTTGGTCCTTTTAAGCTCCAAAGCTTGAAAAAATGAATGTAAAATTTTTTCTACTTTATCAGCTGAATATGATTCCAGTATTCCCCGAATCCGTATGTTATTCCTACGGTGGCTGTCCTCTAAATCAGAGACTTTATTTTCCAGCATCTCATGTTTTCTAGGTAGATTTGCATATTGGTCTTTAAGTTCTGCTTGTTGGAAATACAGATAACCCATCTTCAATATTCTGTGCTTTTTGTGCTGTCATATTTCTTTTGTAAGCTCACTAGTGTTTCTCTGAATTTCAGTTGTTATTTTTTCAGAAAATTGTTGTAAGCTTCTTTCCCATATTTCAGGGGGAAGCCCGAAGGATTCTCTACTTGGGGGGCTCAGCATCCTCTTCCTGATTACTTGGCGCCATAGTTAGGCTCTCTCTTAATATCACACCCCCTGGTGATTGTGGAGTAAAAACATTTGCAAGTCTTTTCTCAGCTTTATTATCCTTTTTTCCCCCTTTTTCCTTATCTTTTTTGTGTTGCTTATTCTCCGGAGGCCGTCTAGTAGACATTTTGACTTTTTATGGAAGGGAGACAGTAGTATTGTTTTCATTTTTTCTTCTATTTTCTCCTTTATCTCCTTTCTTTCCTTCTCCTTTCCTTCTGTCTTTTCCCCCCCTTTTTTTTCCTTTTTCCTGCTTACCACTCATCTCCTCCCCATCAATTTCTCCCCCTGTTTGTAATTATTCACACCAGTTTTGATAAACAATTTGTTATAATGGAGGGATATTTTGCTGGACTATTAGGCAATAAGATCACTATTTTAGAGTATCTATTAATTAATTGTGCTTTTGTAACAATTCAATCAGGAAACAGATTGATACTCAGCTTGATCCTGAGATATAAATTGTCTCTCAGCTTCTCTTAATGCAATAATCAGCGGGGCTAGAAGGAGAGGGCTTGCAAAGACTTTAGGCAAGAGATTTACATGTTTTGCCAGCTGTTTTTAAATATACCTCAATGAAAAAAATGACAATACAATGCACACAGTTTCATTGGGTGTCTATCTACTAAATAATAATTTATTTTATTTTGACAGTGGAGTGCCCTTTAACTTTAGGCAATGCCTTCAATGGAAACTATACAAATCTGTTTTCCTGGCACTATAGATTATGCTTATGCTGAGACAGTGCTAAAGCAACCATTGGTCAATTCACAGCAAGGAGCTTGTTTATTCAAACAATGAAACCATAAACAAGTCTGGCACACAACTACGGTATCATGGTCTCAGAATGTCCTTTTAGTATTTGCATATGTTTTCTCTACATATACCAATAAAATGATACGATTCTAGTTCATCTCAACAGTTAGATTTTTTTTCCCTATGCCAGCTGGAAAAATAATTTAGCTCATGTCTCATCTTGCTGCCAGGACTTAATTCTTCAGGTCATTTTTTCCATTTATCCTTTCCTTTATATTTTCAAAGGAGTAGCATATTTAATTCCCAGAAAGCATGCATACAATGTTAAACTCTCCTTACGGGGACACTCTAAATACTATAACCACTACAGTTGAAGTCAGTGGTTATGTTGCAAGGGGGCTATGGGTGCAGTGCCTCTATTTTTGTAAAAACGTATTAAAGCTGTTTAATGAAAAATATGGGATTTCCTCAAAATCAGAGTCCAATCCCTTTAACAAAATCACCCATCTTAGTAAATAAAAATGGGGATTTAGTAACATGAAATCCCTCTATTTATTTGCTAAACGAGGAGATTTTAAATATTGTTGGAAGATTTAAATCTCTTTTTTTGAGTTAGCTGTTCCCTCAATGTGTATCTAACCAACTTTGCCGATCTAACTGAATTTAATACTTGCATTTTTCTTTTTACATATAACCTACCACAAAGCATGCAATCTTTTAGATAATGTTACAAGCAAATTACTATTGTGTCCTCCCCAATGTCTGTAAAATGCAATCAGCATATTTTGCTTTGGAACATGTCTTCCCAAGGTTTTCAAAAGGAGTAATTAAGAAAATTAACATCACAGACCTGTTCGTATCTGAAATATTCAATTCTCCTTCAGCATTCTTGACCGTTTACAGTGAGACGATACAGAATAGTTTCTTCTCCAGACTGTAAATTCCATTTTTAAAAATGAGAAAACAGCATATGTAGGAAATAAATTCACAAGCATGGGTATCTGTCTGAATCCTTAAGGCAGCTTGTGGCCAGGATACCACAAGAGGCTCAAGAGAGATGTACTTGAAGGCAAAGCAAAACTAAGTTCACCAGGCACTGGGCCAAGACAACGGAAAGGAAGGACTGAAGGCTGTAACATTTAAAGCATGACTGAACCACATATTGTATTAACTCTCATTCTGATTCCACTGTATAATTGAATAAAAGGGTACCTATATTTTAACATCTCACAGGGTTATGCGCTTAAAGAAGAATTGTTGGGAATTTAAAAGCGAATTTCAAATTTAAAGGGACACTCCACTGCCCAAATACAAAATAAATAAAAATCACTGTTTAGTAGATGTACCTCAAATGAAAACTAGTATGCATTTAATTATGTTTTTTGTTTTTTTTTCATTGGAGTTATATCTAAAAACAGCTTGCAAAAACTGCAGGTCTCCTGTCTGCTGCCTTTGCAAGCCCTCCCCTTTTAACCCTGCCCAGTCTTCTTGTGACAATTCAATCACAGACTTCCCAATGCAACACAATGAGAAGTCTTTGCAAGGAAAGTGCTCTGAGCAATTGCTTCCTCTTGAGTTCAGTGCAAAAGAGCTAACCAAACCAGAAGTAACAGGACCTGTTGTCTGCTTGAAAATCCACAGGGTGTTACCAGTATAATTTATAAAAGTGCCAATTTCTGTTCAAATCGACACTATTTCCTAAAAAAAGAGGACACACTCTTAACACATAAAGCTTTTCAGCAAGCTAAAGTGCTTTAGGGGTCTGAAGTGTGTCTTTAAGCCAATCTGGAGGACTGGTGAATTTTTGCAGTTCAGATATTTAGGACTTAAATTTAAAATTTTCTTTGAATTCTCACTGCTTATGAAATGTGTGTGTAAACTGAGTTACGCAATATGTGGGAGAAAATAAATATTTCCTTGCACTCACGCTTGCAGTTTCTTATGCTTTGCCTGTAGGCTTGCCGGGTGCCAGTCCTTTTAGGGATATTGATGTAGATAAGTTGAAAATGCAGGCTGCACTCACGGTCTTTTGAATTCAATAGTATTTATTTCATCAAACAAGCAGATAAATTGACGTTTCGGTCCTCGCAGGGACCTTCCTCAGGATAAATTGACATCTTATATATATATAGATACAAAGATGCTGCTTTCACTGACATACATGTAAGATGCATACATATTCATACATATGAGTAAGTGCATCTGCATTACAACTGGTTTTCATATATCTGAATTCCTTAGGCAAAATTAACATTTTAAAATCCATACTTTTCCTCTCTGACATTAAAAAAGAGATTTCACAGACGCCAATTACCTATTTGGTTACATATTAAATAACTATGAGAGTTCCCGTGCTCATTTAATGAGTAAGAACACTGCTGCTGTGTTACCATGGCAACACTCTGACTCATTGAACGAGTACCAACTAAAAGTAGCATGTACTGTGGTCTGTACAAGCAGACCACACGCTCCTCCACTGTACTACCAAAGATCCAGCCAATGGTACCCACCAGACCACCAGAGATCCAGCCACCGGTACCCACTGGATCACAAGATATTACACCCCCTTCCCTTTCATAAAAGGTAAGTAGGATGGGCGTTTACAATTAAGCACAAACTCACACACATACACTCAGCCAATTCCCAAACACAATCACACCCCCCTTCTCTCCCCCCCTCCCCTCCTTCCTCAGCAAACACCCAAATAATCACAGGATGGAATTTGGCATTATACACAGCCAGCCCCGAAATCATACTCAGTCAACCACCACATACAATCACAGTCAGCCAACACCCAATCGCAATTCGGCAACCACCATATACAATGAAACTCAGCCAACACCTGCTACCTCTTGTCTCAAATCCCCACTGTATCCTTTAGATAGTTAGCTCACAGGCTATCTAGCTAAGCACTTTTTATAATAGCGCTTCAATGGCTAGATAACAGCTTACAGGGCCCTCTCTACCCTATGTATTTGTCTGTGTATATTGTATGTCCTCCACTAATTGTACAGTGCAGCAAAATTTGTTGCCGCTTTATAAATACCAGTAATAAATAAACACCAAAATAATTACACTTAGACAGTGTCTTTTATTTTGTATTTGGGCAGTGAAGTTTCCCTTCCTTACTACAAATAAAATAATGTCTGCTTAAACAGTGCAAAGTAAAATGCTTGTGTATACAGTAAGTGAAAATCCTGCACACCTTACCTTGCTTAATTTCAATACAAACTGCATAAGAAATCAGCTACCTCAGGATCAAAGGATCTCCCCTGCCGGTCTATGCGGGGCCTGTCTATGCAGGGCCGGTCTATGCAGGGCTGGCACTATCAGAGTGCTGGCCCTGCTGCATTCCATGGCGGGCAGGTGGTGAGATCAAAGATCTCCCTCACCAGCCCACATGCAATATATTGCGGCCGCCGGTGGGGAGAGAGGGAGGGAGACAGGAGAGCAACCCGGAGGAGCTCTAACTTGCAGCTCTGCCGGGTTCCTCTCGCGAGATTCGGCAATGCCCTGGGTCTCGCGAGAGTGAACTCTAGCCCGATAGGCTAGAGTTCACTCACCACTAGCACCGCCAGGGATGGCAGAAGCACGATCCCCCCTCCCAGACTATAGGTAAGAAGGGAGGGGGAGATATAATCAATCACCGCACCCTCACTAACACACACACACCCCGCACCCCTGACACTCACAGCACCCACACACATACACACCCTGCCCTTCTGACACTCATAGCACCCTCACTCACACACACACTGCACCCCTGACAGTACACTCACTCACACACACACACACACACACTGCACCTTCACTCACTCACACACACTGCACCCAACATTCACAGCACCCTCACTCACACACAAACACACTGCACCCTTGACACATAAACACACTGCACCCTCACACACAGCTTCCTCACATGCACATAGCACCCTCACGCAAACACAGCACCCATCACTCACACACAGCACACACACACAGCACCCTTACTCACACACACTACACCCCTCACACACACACTGCACCCATCTTGCACACACACTACACCCCTTATACACACATCACCCACACACACACAGCAGCCTCACACACACAGCAGCCTCACACAAACACTGCACAAAACTTTCCTGGCATTCTTGTCTCCTGGTATCCCATCTATGGAGACACCAGAGGCAAATTTCAAACAAACAGTGCAAGCATGTTATTAAATTTGCTTGCGCTGTGCAGAACAAATACAGTGCCTTTTTCTCATGCTAGAGCTCTTCAGCAGAGCTCTGTGCATGGTCTGCCCTGGAAGAGCATTGAACCAACATGCTCACTTTGTGATGGGGCGTGCTTGTCATTGGTGATGACAAATCACACCCTATCTGGCCCCGCCACTTTTTAAGTGGGCCGCTGTAATTAAAAAATGCCCGGGCCGAATCTTCTTCCCAGTCCAGCCCTGGGAGGATGGGTTAGAGCCATTTACAATGCAGCCTTGGGGATATGACCGTATATTCTACTGGTGCAAAATTGCAGGTGAGCGAGAATAAATTGGCAGGCCTGAGGGTTTTTAGAGGGCAGGAGCCCCTGGCATATGAGTGATTGTAAATGAATTTCCATCTTCATCAGTTTGTACACAGCAAGGTCACAGTTTATATACCTTATTATAATGCAAGAAACTTGGCAAGGGGCTAGAATTATTGCGTATTGTGCCGGGATAAGTGAGTTTTTGTTGAAACAGACATATTTCTTTGTTAAAATTGGTAGATCTCAGCAAATCGGAAAAACGTTCAGCTTGGCTATTTTTGGCCTAATTTTTATAAATGCGTTTGACATCATACCTGGGGTGCCCTGACTGCTACCCCTTGCTTCTCTGGAACCTCCAAGAGAGCCTGGAGCTCCTGCCAGGAGCTTCCATTACCTCTCCTGAACTAAGTCAGGGCCAGTTCATTGGCTGAGAGATTCAGCTGATAGCTCTGAGACAATAAGCTAAGCCCTGCACCTTGAGGTGTGTGTATATTGTACCTTTAAACCTCTTCACCATAAACATCAGTTCAGTGAATAATCCCATAAATGTTTCATATTTGCCATGTAACTAAACAGCGTTAGCATTAACACCTTAAGGACCAAATGCCACATTTTTCAATCATTACAAAATGAAATGTATTGCATCAATGTCACAAAATGAGTGGGTCATTCTACTGTGCAATAAGAAATCCCTAAAGAACGGATTGATAACACTAGATATGTTAAATAACCCCTGATAACCAAACCAATGGTTATCAATCACTAACATATCTATTTATAAATTTATAGAGTTTATTCATCAGACTAATAATGCTCCAAGTATAATAATGCCATTCTCACTTTCTGGAAGAAGTCTGTCACTACAGATAAATGTTAATTAAATATCAATTACCTATAGACTATAAAAGAATGGGCTTTTAGGCAACAGTGATAGAATGTATAACAGGTTAAAATGCATCATCATATAATGTATTCCTCAATGTTTCACTATGTGCAGTTACTGATATAGAATGTGGTAATGTGTTGTGTGTCATCTCTAACAAGCCACCGTACATACAGCTCCAATCAAGGTTTGTACATACATTTCCTGGCAGTATACTGTAGGTTAAGGCACTTCCCAAGGAAATGATGATAAGAAGCCATTTCTCCTTCTGTTATTCGGACCAGAGTAAAGAGCTTTATATTGCTGGGCACCGGCTGGCCACATCTTGAACACCAGTACGCCATCAGCAAAAGAGGAAACACTGACAGCCTGTCCCACAAACAGCCTTGTTTTCTAGCCACGTACTTATCTTCACAGACTGCTCACGGAAGCAGCCGACTAATACCTTATTACTGGATGTCAATCTCTCCTGAGGTGCCTTTGCTGATCTGCACAAGGAGGGTTATGGACACACTCACAAACTCTTCATATTCTTTAAATCAAGCTATTGATAATTGTTTCCACACAGAAAACTGTGACAAAAATTAACCTCTTCACTACCGGGTACATTTTTATTAAAAATAATAGTAGCATATAATTTTTTATTTGTAGCAAGTTTACACCCTATTAAAGGGACACTCCACTACTCAAATACAAAATATATATTTTGAAATAACTGTTTAGTAGATATACCTCAAATGGAAACTTGCATGTAATTAATTGCATTTCTCTTGTCTGAAGCCTTTGTAAGCTCTCTCTTCTAAGACTTTGTGTGGCTGTACAATCACAGACTTTTCATTGCAGCTCAATGAGAAGTCTTTGTAAGTCAGTAGGTCTGCACAATTGCTGCTTTTTGACGTCAGCTCCATTGAGCTAACAAAACCAGGAAATAACTTTACTTGTTGTATGCTTGAAAGCCAAGAGGGTGTAACCAGGTTAAAGGACCAACGTTTTTTCCTGGCACTATAGTGTTAATAGGTCCCTCCCCCACCTTCATGGCCCCCTCCCACCGGGCTCAAGAGGGGTTAAGGGGTTAAACACTCACCTTTCTCCAACGCCGGGCTCCCTAGGCGCTGGGGACTCTCCTCCCTCTACCGACGTCATTCGCCAAATGCGCATGCGCAGCAAGAGCCGCGCGCATTCAATCAGTCCATAGGGAAGCATTTCTCAATGCTTTCCTATGGACGGCAGTGTCTTCTCACTGTGAAAATCACAATGAGAAGCGCGGAGGCGTCTCTAACCGCTGTCAATGAGACAGCCACTAGAGGCTGGATTAACCCCAATGTAAACATAGCAGTTTCTCTATGGTCTGGGTGCCTATAGTGGTCCTTTAATTTATAAAAGTGTCAATTTCTATTGAAATCTGCACTTTTTGCAAAATTTAAAAAAAAGAGGACACACTCTTCACACACAAAGGTTTTCTGCAAGCTAAAGTTGCTTAGGGGTCTGGAGTGACCCTTTAAGTTCACCAGTCATCTCTCTCTGAACTCTACACTGTATTTACTTTCCTGATTTTAGGCTCGAAGCTGTCCTTTCCTTTTGTCCCAGTTTGTCTCTTCGTGTTATTGTTCTGTCTGCAATATATTTTGCTAACCTACCAAAATATTCTGGTACCACCTGGAGGTATTCAAACCACAAAATCTGGACACTGACCACCAGATTTACCAATAACCATATTTTGCAACACTGACTCCGAATAAGATTTACTCTATGTTGGATTTCAGCCTGCGTGGATTTAACTAAACAACTAAAATCCGATATAGAACTATGGAACTATGCAACAAATTGCTGAATTACAATGATAATTAGAAAGAATTGGCAGTTATCATCCAGTAAATATAGTTCAACTGAATTCACAGAACTCGATTGAACTGAATTTGCAGGCAAATAGTGATCAGTTCTAATTAAAGATAATGTAGTGCAAAAATACTGTGGAGGACAGGTTGGTTCTATAGTGAGGTATATTATAGCTTGGCTATTAAAACATAAGAAATGATATTATACAATGTTGTTCTTCATGTAAAAACACATGAACTATATTAAGAGAACAGACACAGGGCAGGTGCTTGTTGCTGTATAAATAGTATGGATCAAGGCAAATCCTCAGCGTATTTATTGCAACATTTCCTAGGGATTAACTCGGAGGAAAATCATGCTGCACTTTGATGTAAATCACGTGTCCAAATAATGGAGGTGGCTAGAAAGGTCAGGTCTATTAATTAAATTCTGTAACCTGGTGTCATGCAGCTGTAGCCCTGAAGAGAATTAATGATACTCATCAGCTTCCAAACTAATTATCTGCACTCTTCAGTGGTGTATCTTGCATCTGTGCTACCCTAGGCATGATGGAACTCGGGCACCCCCTAATTCAAATTTGGCCCACCTCTGCCTGTCAAAGCCACACCTCTTCCTCTTAAAGACTAACACACACTCACACTCAGGTCTATTAATTAAATTATGTAACCTGGTGTCATGCAGCTGTAGCCCTGAAGAGAATTAATAATATTCATCAGCTTCCAAACTAATTATCTGCACTGTTCAGTGGTGTATTTTGGATCTAATTTAAATTTGTCCCACCCCTGCCTGTCAAAGCCACACCTCTTCCTCTTAAAGAATAAAACACACTCACACACATACTCAAAGAGAGGCACATACTCTCAAATACACTGACATACACACACACACACTCACTGATTTGACACAATCTGACAGACTCACACAATCACTCACTCACTCACAGAAACTGACTGACAGACACACTCACTAACTGACACACACACACTCACAGACACACACTGACAGCTACACACACACACATTCACAGACACACACTCACTGACAGACACGCTCACTCACAGACACACATACACATCCACTAACAGAGGCACACAGACTCACAGACACACACTGACAGACACACCCACATTCACTGACAGACACACATGCTCTCTCACAGACCCACATTTACTGATAGAAACACTCACCCATTCATTCAAAAATACATGCTCACTCACAGACACACACACACACACAGACTGACAGACACACAGACTGACAGACAGACACACATACACACATGTTCCCTCACACATTTACAGATTATTATTTTTTTAATTTAATTTAAAAGCTCTACTTTTGGGAGACCTGGGTGGATTTTTTTTTTTTTACCTGGGGTCCAGTGGGGCTGCTGGGTTGGCTGGTGGCCAGGTTGTTAATGGTGCTGGGCAGGCCAGAAGACAGGCAGGCAGGCGAATGTGCAAAGCAGGAAGTGAGGGAGCTGCGCGCTCCCTGATCAGCTCATTCGCGCGCCGCAGAGTAATCCCAGGAGCCGGAATATGACATCACTCCTGCTCCCGGGATTACTCCACGGTGCACAAGGGAGCTGAGCAGGGAGAGCTCAGCTCCCTCACTTCCTGCTTTGCGCACCTGCCAGCAAGCATTACTGCAGGGCGTGTGAGGGAGCTGAGCAGGGAGTGCTCACAGACCAAAGCTTCCTCGCTGCCCGTCCCGGGAGTGGGGGGGGCAAAGGTATCCAGCTGGCCAGCTCTTGGTCCCCCTTAAAACGGCGCTAACAAGCCATTTGCCTGGGCATTTTGGGGCAGCGTTTTTTTGCAGCCCCCTGGAAAGTGCCGCACATGGCAAATGCCTTGTTAGCCTCGCGGCAAATACAGTCCTGGCACTGGTAAGAATGTAGGGATTTTATAGTTCCTGCAACAACAAAAAAACAAAGCAAACTCTTTTTTCCCTTTTTTATTTCATTTGGTGGGAGGGGGCATCTAGCATTTAGAGGGGTAAAGGAATACTCCATATGTTAAAACCAAATATTTTAATGTTGGTGTGTTCCTCAGACGTGTGTGTGTGTGTATATGTATGTATGTGTGTATATATATATATATATATATATATATATATATATATATATATATATATATATATATATATTATTATTATTATTATTATAAACCTAAAAACATATACATATCTTTACCTGATATATATATATATATATATATATATATATATATATATATCTCAGGCTCTGAGGTGGATGCCACCAGGCCAGTATGCTACTGGGCGCTAGTCAGCAACAATGTAAGTTCTTCCGAGCGCCCAGTAACATGGCTGGCAGCACGCTCAAAATAATCTAACTTGATGAAGGGCACAAACTATCGCAGCAGCACAAACTATCATAAAGCCCTGTTTATAGTGTATGTTGACACGCTTCCCTTGAGTATTTTGAACAGTGGCAGAGATGCTGGGAGAACTGTGTGAGGCCTAATTTGAAGGGAACTGAGGCGTCATGTTCCTATGTACAATGTTTCTTGTATCTTTTATCTTCTTCAATAAATGTCTCTAATTTTCATATTACATGACTGAATACTTTCCAGACAGACTTTATGTATGTTTGATATAGTGTGATATTGATTTGTAAATAAAGCTACTTATATCAGCAGTACTTTTGGTGTGCATCCTGTGTTGAGATTAATTGGTTATATTGGATACATAGTATCTACTAAGGATTGCACCCTCAAAGTAGCAGAATAAATACTTTTGAACTCTGCTATGCGAGTAATTTATGACTAATGTTAAAGCGGCACTGTTACCCTCCATGAAAAAAAGAGTATTTCATAAAGATAGAAATACTTATTGACTGTGTTGGAATTTCACTGAAATATGGACTACTTTGTCTCTGTATATTTCCTACGCCTAACACCTCTAGACACTGGGCACCAGAAGCTGAAGAGGACCAGCCAACAGATGATGGCCGTGTCCACAAGGAACAGGTTCCGGATAAATAAATCTCCCCTTTATCAACCCCCATCCCATCCACCAGACCCCATGTGGGAATGTCACTGTTGGGGGTCTTTGCGAACTCTGCAAAGTCCCCAGGTGGTGACAGTGCCGCTTTAAATGAAAATACATAAATCACATTTTAACATAATTTTGTTATATACAAACACATTAGGTCTTCAGTTTCTCTCTAGTCGGTGCAATTGCTTTAGGACACAATTGTATTTAAAATAAGTTTGTTTTTCAATGTGTTGGCATGCTTTGTTAAGTTTGGCAATTGACTAAATCCATCCTGTTAGAGCAATAGAGGAAATGCATTTACTGCAGCTGTCAATGAATCTGTGCATTATCAAATTACTGAAATCACCCTTTTAAAAACTAGATCTAGAGCCTATGCATCATAATTTATCATACGCTAACAGTGGAAATTGCTGCTCTATATTCTAGAGCTGCTTACACGCACATTAGGCTAACTCTTTCAGTGCCATAGAGGTGTTTTTTTGGGAATCACTCGGGAACTGTAATGGATCTTCTGTTTATTGGAGGTCTTAGGGTACTGTATCTTTTATAAAGCAAGCAGAGTATTTGTTTTTTGCCAACTCTTCCTCTCCATTGCACAGGTCGTGTGAATCTGGAATACTATGCTTCTCTAGCCTCTATTATTACATAAGGGCTAGTGTTATTTTATCTGGATTGTGGCCACCCACCATTCAAACATGTACATCTGTGGCACATGATAGATAGAGATTTTGAAGCATTAATGGATACATTATTCTAAAAACATTTTCATCGATAAGGTGGTTGAAGATTTCATTATTTATTTTACACAACAAGCACTTTCGGGGCATTTTTTCCGGGGTTGTGCATATGTTTTTTTTATTCAGTTGTTACAGAACTCTGTGACCATAACTGCAACAAGACTTGTGCATTAGTTTTCAAACTAAAAGCTATTAACCACAGTTTTGGGCAATGGACGAAAACCATTTCACTTGTTTCTTGATCCAGTGTTCTGTCCATGCAGCCATGGAAAAGAGATGATTAAAAGAAAAAAAGATGATTGATTGATGGTTAGGAGACAGAAAGACTAGAGCATGGGTCGTCAACCTGGTCCCTACCGCCCAGTAGTGGGCGTTTCGGGATTCCAGGTGGGCGGTAGGGACTTTGGAGGTTAAAACCTCCTTTTGAGTGAGCGCACACATCAAGAAACCAACATGCGCAAGAATGCGTGCGGTAGGATTTTCGGAAGTTAAAACCTCCTTTTGAGCGAGCGGGCGGCGCAGGCGGGCGCGAGAGCACACATCAACCTCCTTTTGTACGAGAAGGGGTCGGGCGGGAGCGAGCGCACGCAAACATGTGGGAAGCGGAAGGGGAGGAGTGGAAACTGATAGCAAGGACAGGCAGAAACGGAGCAGAGCAGTTGCAAAAGAAAAGTTATAGGCAGGAGAAAGATAATTGTTGGCTAATAATAACAAGTGGGCTAACTAGCTCAGCCTTACTTTTATACCTCAGGAAGGTAAAAGAAAGGAGATAAAAAGCAAAAGATTAAAAAAAAAAAATAACAAAAAAAAGGAAGAAAAATAGAGAAAAGGGGATAAAATAAAGGAGCAGAGTAAGCAGTGTTTAGTCTGGCTCATAAATTAAGTTTTGTTATCTTATAAAATAAAAGAAAAAAATAAGGGAAGGAGAAAATAAAAAGGAAAAAGAGATCCTTGATATAGTGATATACTATAAGGAAGGTAAAGAAGCAGGCTGGAAAAGGAATTTCTTTTGATGGTGACATTTAATAAAAATTGGCACCTAATACAGCATTGTTTTGGTGTTAGTAATAAAAGGGAAAAGAGGAGGGAAAAAAGCACTGTGTGGATTGCAGATCAAAACGTAAGAGTAAAAGTAGTAATTACTTTTGTAATTTTGTAATTTTGGCAGTGGTGGATACCAAAAACTCTGGCAAAATAAAAAAAAATGCCTGCATTATATCCAAATATGTGGAAAATTATGTTCAATTTATTGATACCTTTCCCTACCACATATCTTGTAAAATCAGGCTTTAGTGCTGCTAATCATATTATGAGCAAACAGAGAAACCGTCTGAATATCACCGAAAGAGGAGACCTTTGTTTGTTCCTTACGAAAATCGTACCAGATATCAAATATTTAGTCTCGCAGCATCAGCCTCAAGGATCTAATTTCTAATTAAACTTTATAAAGTTAAAAACATTATAAACATGCATAAAGTAGAAATAAAAAGATAAATGTATGTACATTTTTTTTTTTTTAAAAACACCCTCCTTTCTAAAAAATATTCCTCGCTTGCGCGAAAACTGGTGGGCGGTAAGGAAATTTTTCCATCAAGAAAGATGCATTAGTGGGCGGTAGGAAGAAAAAGGTTGACTACCACTGGACTAGAGTAAGAAACAGATGGCTTTGGGTTAGTCTGGGCTCCACAAAATTCCTGAGATTCTAGTGTGGCCATGATCCTGTTGTCTAGTATATACACTCTCACACTTTACTATCAGCATTCAACTACATGTCATTTTAAATACAGACTGTGTTAGTTCTTGTTTTCAGATGTACCTGATCATATAACTTCCATATGTATCCAGACTAATGTTTTCATTGGTTCATAATGACTCCACTGTGTGAGTCATGGCAACCTGCATGTAGGGTCTACATACACCAAAATTACGTATTCCATGCTGTAATTGCATGTTCTAACTCCAGTAGATTGGTAGATTACATATACCAATCAGTTCTGTCACATATGGCAAACATCATGTACCATAATTTTTAATTAAAGTAGTATAATTTTACACTGTTGCCAGGAGACCACGCAAAATCTGAGAAACAGTTTTCTAGATCAAAACTTTTTTTTTTTTTACGTTTTACACATTCAAGATTATTAAAAAAAAACAGCACCAATGACCTTATTTAGTTTGTCAATATCCTATTTCAAGGCACAATCTTATGTTGTCCTAATCTTATTCACTGTCTCTACCACCACTACTCGTAGGCAATTCCATGCATCTAACACTATTTCTGTAAAAATATTTTTTTTCAACTTTGTCTCCTTTCAACAAAATGTTTGTTTATTTATTTTTTTTTAATTCTTTATTTTACTTGTACATAAAGTAACAACAGGCGTGCATAGCCACAACAGATGCTGCAAGCATTATCATGGCATTTCAAAGTGTGGCCGTTAAAACAGCACAAGTTTAGTTATGCTTAGTGTGAAGTGTATGTGACACTGCATTCCCAACTATGGTAAACATTTATATTTCAGTAAGCAGGATAAACCATGTATTAGAGTGTTACTTGTGTGATGGAGCTATGTGTCCCAAACATGCAAGGTGAGTATGCTCGTTGTCTTGAGCGAGAAGAAACAGTGAAACCACTGTGGCTGAGCTGTCTTGCTGTTATATGTGTCCGTGCGGACCCCGGCGGGGAGAAGTTGGTGGGGACCAGGTATGACTGCATGCCTCGTCCATGAGTGTCTATTCCCAGATGGCATGAGGTGAGCAGTCAGCTCTGATATTGCCCGGTCTGCATTATGCTGTGGAGTACTCCGTGCTTGTGTCACTTGGGCAGGCGATGACTCATGAGTCCCCTCCAGCTACAATCTCGGCTAGGGAGGCGCGTGTTGCAGAGGGTCCGCTGGATTTCTTGGTGCCCTTTTCCCTTTGGCCTGGGTCCGCTGCGGTCGCTCTACCTTCGTTCAGACAGCTGTTGTGGCTCTATGTCGCAGGAGCGGTTAGGTAGGTGCTCTGAGCCGCCGCCATCTTGGGCTGTGGGCCTTGCGTGTCCAGCGCCCTTTAGTCAGTTTGTAGGTCAGCTTGAGTGTGCCCCAGTGTGGACCAGGATGACCCCCCCGGCCCAGAGGGGGGGAACAGGAACCGGCAGACATTCAACATTCCAGCGTGAGGCAATATAGTAGGGAGACGGAGCAGCAGCCGTCCACCCCGCTCCTCCTAGAGTAGGCCGCGGCCTCCGAAGTCTCGTGCTTCCCGTGGGGGGTCCGGAACTGAGTAGTTTCTTGCTGTTTGCGAGTCTGGGTGACTGCTTATTATGGCTTAAAGGCCTGATTTCTCAGGAGCCCCTCCGCCATGTGACTGGTCCGTATGGCGGTGCGGCCCCGCCCCCCCTCCTTTCAACAAAATGAATCTTCTAATTCCAGCTACCTTTCTTGTAATTACTTTTTAAAATTATACTTAAAGGAACACTCCAGATACAAAAAGAAAGCCAGCTGCTGTCTAGAGTTATTCCTTTTTTGACAATTTATAAATGTGCTGATTTCTAAAGAAAGCCCTACTTTAAAAAATAGAGGGAAAAACACATCTTTGGCTGATCATTCAGACAGCGGGACAGGTTTTCTTTCTCTTCCAATTGACCTCCCTCACTTCAGTGACTTGTACTACAACACATTGAGAAGCAATGGAAAGCGACAATTGGATTATTGTGCATGCGCTCCTGCTCCAGCACAGAAGCTTCTCAATAAGAAAGCTATGTTTGGTCAATTCCCTGGCACAGTTTGAAAGTCTCTGTTTGCGAAAGAGGAGAGTGCTTGCAAATGCTGCAGACAATAGGTCTGCAGATTTTTCCCAGCTCACAAAGATGGCTCAACTTGGTTAAATCATCATGCCCAATTTCTCTGAAAGTGACATTCAAAATAAAACCTCCAGTGTGCGCTACAACAGACAAACAGAAAGTATGATCACATGATTAGGGAAATTAAAAAAAACAACACTGGCTGACAACCAAGCATGGCTCATCTTTCAAACTATAGTCCACAGAACACTTCACCATTTGGACTACAACATCTACTGTCTATTTCTGTATTTAAAGGGTCTAAACCACCAAAACTGACAATATTACATAAATTTTACAAATGTTTGAGGACTCTAATAATAAAATTTATTTTTGTGTATTTATTTTGTTTGAGTAAAATAAAATCATCAATCCATAGACAACCTGAAATGATCCTTAATGCTCAAATATTTACTCCTCAAAGTTTTCTCTGACATAATCTGAGATCCTTCTGTAGTAAAAATATGTCTGGTCCTTCAGTGACCTCTATTGGTCCAATGTCCTTACACACAGGATGAGGCAGTGACAGCTGGTATATCATTGTCCAATGTCCACCCTGCATATTATACAGCATATCACACACTAGAATAGGGATACTATTGTTTGCATACATCAGGCATTTAATCTGTTTGAATTCAATGAAAAATGAGCAAAATTAAAAGACCACTCCTCACCCATAAAGGAGTACATCTTTCAGCCCCCTTTTCAACTTGTTCTGCTATTTTCCGTGTGAGATTGAAAATGCACTGCACTTTGTGTATGCAGAGAGACAGGGATAGGAAGCTACATCTTATCCCAGCTTTTCTCTGTTGACTGAAACCGCAGGGGAGCAGCACATGCAACCAGCAGAGACATCACATCATAAGGCCCATTCATAAAAAAGTAAAACATTTTTATGAACCGGGAACTAGCGATTGGCTTAGAACGTCAACTGACCACTCTAGCCAATCTGCAGCACCCATGCCTGATGTAAATCTGCACTTCCTGACACTCCGTTTCAGAAGCTGAATACCACTGAGCGACCTGGAGATCTAGAGCTGGAGGAAGCCTTTGGGGTTAAACCATTTTAGAGTGGTTTAACCCCTTAAAGGAAAGAGAACACCCAGGGGCTTCCTGGCATCATAGCATTTTCATTTAGATGAAGTTGTTATGGTGACCAGAATGTTCCTTTTAGTTTGCTTAAAGGGACACTCCAGGCACCCAGACCACTCCTGCTAATTGTAGTGGTCTGGATGCCAACTCCCTCTACCTTTAACCCTGCAAGTGTAATTAGTGCAGTTTTTCATAAACTGAACTAATTGCCTAACAGGGTTAAAGTCCTCCTCTAGTGGCTGTCTATGAGACAGCCACTAGAGGAGCTTCCGGGTTCTTAAAACACTTTGTGTTTTAAATGATGCTGGCCATCCTCACGCAATGCATGAGGACCTGCAGCGTCGCTGGAATCCCCATAGGAAAGCATTGAATAATGCTATCCAATGGGGGAGTGTAATGCAATGTGCTGACGTCGGCGGGGGAGTAGGGGAAGGAGAGTTGGCGGAGCCTGAACCAGAGCTGAGGGACATCGGCACTGGATACGGGTAAGTCACTGAAGGGATTTTAAACCCCTCTGCAACCTGGGATGGGAGGTGGGAGGGAGAGGGGACCTGCAGTGCCAGGAAAACGGTTTGTTTACCTGGCACTGGAGAGTCCCTTTAAAGGAACACTATAGTGTCAGGAATACAAACATGTATTCCTGACACCATAGTTGTGAAAACGCTTTTCACCCTGGCTTTATGTGATAATGACTGTGCCCCTTTCCTTTCATGACACTGTCAAAAAAGGACCAAGCATGGATGTCATTACAATTATGCCCCGCCTGGAAAATTTCCTGCGGATGCCCATGCAGCCAGGTAGGTTTATATCCTGCTTCCATTAGCTCACCTGAGTGAACGGAAGTGGCAGACATGCTCTCTTTCTCCTTTCCTCCTCCCCACATACCTCCTTCTCAAGCCTTAGACCAGAATACTGTGCCGAACATCAGAGACTTCTCAATGAGTTCATAAAAACTGCAGCATTTGCAAGCACTTCTATGATATACCCCTATGAAAACATGCCCACATGTGATTTTTACTTTTTCTGCCCATTTGGACAGTGGAGTGTACTTTTAAATATTTAAAAAGGTTAAAAAATAAGTCAAAGTTTAATTTGCTAATCCATTAACAAAAAAATTCAGGAGGATATGTTCCAGTATGGCTGCGGTAAACAACAAAAAAAGCTTAAAGGGACACTATGCACCCAGATCACTTCAGCTCATTGAAGTGGTTTGGGTGCATTGTCCATATTGCACTTAGTGCTGTAATGTTAAACATTGTAGTTCCAGAGAAACTGCACTGTTTACATTGCAGCACTAAGTCTGCCTCCAGTGGCTGTTTTCCAGACAGCCACTGGGGCACCTCCAAGATATTAACGGACCTTTGGTCCGGTATCTGACACTGGACATCCTCACGCTCTGAATGAGGACATCAGCGTCAGATTTTTCCCCATAGGAAAGCAGCGATTCAATGGCATTTGCTGCACATGCGTATTAGTGCCCGCTCATCACAGGACAGAGGAGGAGGTAGAGCCACGACCCAGTGCTGAGGGACATCGGCGCTGGCGTAGGGTAGTAAATGGGTTTTTAACCCTTTATTCACTAGGGAGAGGGGTGCGCGAGGGAGGGGGTGGCAGATGGGCTATAGTGCCAGGAATACAGCTTTGTATTCCTGGCACTTATAGTGTCCCTTTAAGAAACTAAACAACAGAATACAAGTAAACATATTTGCATGGTTTTCACTAAAAGAGAATTCAAAGTAAATTTCAAAATTAAGGTTAACCCCTTAAGGACACATGACGTGTGACATGTCACGATTCCCTTTTATTCCAGAAGTTTGGTCCTTAAGGGGTTAAAATAGCCAAACTGGAAAAAATTATCTGTCAGCTATGCTACTACTTCAGCTACTTTGGCCTTAAATTTTAAAGTCACTCTGAGCTCACTTTGAATTCTAACTTTAATGAATAACCCTGAAAATGGTATTAAATGGACACTATAGGCATTCAGACCACTTAATCTCACTAAAATTATCTGAGTGAAATGGCCCTGTCCCCTTAACCCTGTAATGTAAAACAGTGCAGTTTAAGAAAAAGTCCATCTCTGTCTTCCAAGTAGCCACTAGAGACCCATCCTGCTCCCTAAAGGGTTTTTAATCTTTTACACATCGGTGGGAAAGGGAACCCACAGAAATAGGGACAGGGACACTATAGCATTAGGAATACAGGTTTGTATTCCTAACGCTATAGTGTTCATCTAAGAACCAAGAATAAGAATATCAAAAAGCACATTCTAACTAGACTCTGTGCCTGAAGGGATAGTAGCTTTCTGTTTTACTGACATTAAATGGATCACTCTGAACTCTAGAAAAGACAGCAGAAAAAAAACTGCATTCATATGAATTTATTCATTGTTGTTTTGAATATTTGTGTTTGTCGGGGCGATTCACTGATGCATGAAACATTGGAAATTCAAAGTAAATTCAAAGCAACTGCTAAATTTTAGGCCAAAATAAGTCAAGCTAAAAATAAAGCTGACTCTTTCCCATTTATAACATTTTAAATTAACTTGGAATTCACTTTAATTTCCTGACAAGTCACAATTCAGTCAAAGTGTAATTTGATAATCCATTGACAAAAAAATTCAGGAGGATATGTTCCAGTATGGCTGCGGTAAACAACAAAAAAAGCTTAAAGGGATACTATGCACCCAGATCACTTCAGCTCACTTGAGGTGGTTTGGGTGCAGTGTCCATATTGCACTTAGTGCTGTAATGTTAAACATTGTAGTTCCAGAGAAACGGCAATGTTTACATTGCAGCACTAAGTCTGCCTCCAGTGGCTGTTTTCCAGACAGCCACTGGGGCACCTCCAAGATCTTAAAGCTGACTCTTTCCCATTTATAACATTTTAAATTAACTTGGAATTCACTTTAATTTCCTGACAAGTCACAATTCAGTGCATTTGTAAGTGCATCTGTGCTGGTTCTTTTTTCGAGAGGACGCTCAAGGAACATTTTGTGCACCGTAACCAATTAAACATGCTAGAGTGCCCTAGTGACCCCTATAGTAAGTAGTAAAAACCATTGCCATATATTTGACTCCTTACCGTTGGTCCACCGGTCCCTACAGCTAGTACTGAGTGCCTGAAGCTCTTAGCAAGGCTTTCTCATTGGCTGAGAACACCAGGTGGTTGCTCTCAACCAATTAGCTAAGCCCTGGACTACTGTGCATAGCTCAGTGAAAAGAGCAGTGGGAACAGGGAGCGTCACTCGGCAAACTCCAGGTAAAAAGTGAAACCATCACCGAATGGATTTTTACTTATTATATTGGCGGGTTCCGCATGATACTTCTGGCACGATAACTACTGTAATGCACTGTAGTGGCTATAGAGCTTGGAATGTTCCTTTAAACCTAAATTACAAAATAATGTATGCAAAGGCTATAATAAATGTAATCTTTCATTTTAACCCCTTAAGGACACATGACATGTGTGACATGTCATGATTCCCTTTTATTCCAGAAGTTTGGTCTTTAAAGGGTTAACAATGATAACAAATGAATGAGAAGCTGCCAATCAAGCCTTCACCTCATGTGAGGTTTAAAGATGGTGGGTAGCTGCCCCATGATATGGGTACTTCGTATTTACCCCATGTGCTCAATCCCTTGACCCAATGACAGTGTTGCATTCAGGGAACCCAGTAGAATCAACTACCACACCTGGAGCACCATGGAAGGGATCCGCAGTCCCTTAAAAGTATTCAAAAACAAATGCCAAAGCTTTCACAGAGTAGTGCAAACAGGAAGGAGTTTAATTCAGGATCAGAAGAACAAAATTATATACAACATTTCAGCGTCAAGCCTTAATCATGTATATGCCCTGTTCAACACCATATAACTATACATACACATTATATGGGAAACAACAACTACTTTAATGAGGTCCAACTCTACCCCTAATGTGCTTGTATTTTGCTTGTTGGGGACAGGTTCCTGGTATTTCCAAAAGCATGGCACTAGACTTCCTCTAGTGCCATGCTTTTGGAAATACCAGGAACCTGTCCCCAACAAGCAAAATACAAGCACATTAGGGGTAGAGTTGGACCTCATCCCGAAAATCCGGACTGTCCCGCCAAAAGGGACAGTTGGGAGACATGCTAGAAGACAGAACACAAAATGCAGACCTGTCTTTTAGAGTGACTAGGATCTGACAGCCCTATGAAAAGCCAGTTTTAGTGGTCTATATACAAAACAATTTGCCTTTTTTTTTTTTTAAATTAAAAAGATCACCAAATTCAAACAATTTCTCAACCTCTCAACAGTATCTCCAGTCATCAATAAAAGAGGGGGGAAACTGCAGATATAATGTTGACACGACAGATATAAGATATCCTCTACATGTAGACAAAACTAGAAGTGGCCTTTGGCTAGTCACTCAGCATGGAAAGCCCCACAAATGTAGGTTTTCAGTACTACAGGAAGCTGTATCTATTTGTGCTTTATAAATAGTTTATAAGAATGGCCGCAATGCATCCTACAGTTATAGACTTTAACGGCTCAGAATTATCAGTATGCATTTTATGAATTACTCACTTTAATTTACAGAGGCCAGTTTTCACTTTATACCACTTGCAAAAAATAAGTCCAGCACCTATAATTATATCAAAAACAATCATATTCTCATCGGTATACGCTAGCAACCAGAGGTTCAGACAACTCTGTCACTCCCTGTGGAAAGCATAATTATATAATACACACCTACAAAAGCTAAACTCATTTGCTTGTGGGTTCTTGAGGCTAAGGTGGGGGAGGTGCAAACTATATATATCATGATTTGTCTTAAAGTGATACAAATGTTAAAAAAAATCCACAGGCAGTGTTCTCTATTACTTGGTACATTACCCATATGCCTAAATATACCTCTGTTTCTAACAATATCTATGAAAACTGCTACACTTAAAAGTAATGTAAAGTGAACACTAAATATACACTGATCAGCACCTGTCAAGGAGGTGGGGGTGGGGGGGGATATATCAGGCAGCAAGTGAACAGCCAGTCCTGGCATTCATGTGGATGTTACTTTGACACGTACCACCTACCTGGAGATTGTTGCAAACCATGTACACTCTTTCGTGACAATGGTGCTCCCTGATGGCAGGGGCCTCTTTCAGCAGGATAATGCACTCTGCCACACTGCAAAAATTGTTCAGGAATGGTTTGAGGAACATGACAAAGAGTTCACGGTGTTGTCTTGGCCTCCAAACTCCCCAAATCTCAATTCGATTGTTCCTTTGTTCGATGTGCTGGAACAACATATCTGATCCACGGAGGCCCCACCTTGCAACTTGCAGGACTTGAGAGGATCTACTGCTAATGTTTTGGTGCCAGATCCCACAGGACGCATTCAGAGGTCTTGTGGAGTCCATGCCTCGATGTATCAGAGCTGTTTTGGCAGCACAAAGGGAACTGACATGATATTATGCAGATGGCTTTAATGGTGTGGCTGATCAGTGTATCCAGACTTGGACATTTGTTTTGTTAAAAAGTGTATTATGGGGGGTGGAGCCTGACTGCCGAGCGGGATAGACGTGTTGTGGATCAGCTCCGGCTAGAAGTGACAAAAATGGGGATGAATACCCCGAAAGCAAACTCACCCACAAGTCAGAGGGCACGAGACAAGCTGGGGAAACCAGGGGGCATCGAAGAAACCCACAAGCGGGACACACACTGCCCAGGTACCCACGCAAAACACAAGGGGCCTACATGCGGCAGAGCCAAGAAGAGACGGCCGCTCTTCTGGATGGTAAAACCGCACACACGACCCTCAGTGCACCTGCCTTCCTCCCCCCCACCCTGGGCCGGTGGGGGTTATCCCGGCCTGCACTCGACAATCACAAGAACCAACTGAGACAGCAATAACAACCGGACCTAGACAAGCAAGGCTGCAATCCCATACAAGGCGCACCTAAAATGGCGGCCGGCAATGAGACATGCAGGTTGACCATACGACCGACGCAACTGCAATGGAGTGAGCCCATACAAAGCAAAGAGGCGATATTGAGCCACATCTGGGAACTCCTCACACAGCGGCAACAAGCAGCCCTAAACAAGCGACCCACACTACCGCCGACTGACGGGCGGAGCGGCAAAAAAGCGGGGGGCGCCCTCAGGCACAACGCCACCTCAACTACTTTCCCACACACTGCATAGCCCACCCAGGCCGCAGGCCACCGGGCAGAGAGCCCAGAGGCATCGACCACATAGACGGAGGCACAAGTAACGTAAGAAACAGACTGAACCTAGCCCTACCATCACTCACACAAGTGGAGAAAACCCGGGCCCTAGTGGTAGCTGATTTGTGGCCTAAGGATGCAGGCCTACATACCATTCCGGGGCTGGAGGGACGCCCACCTTGACACCCGCACAGCAGCAGGAAGCAGAGACCCAGCGACGAGCACATACCGCTTCCATAAAGAGGGCATCAGCTGAAGAAGTACATGCTAGGGGCCTCACGACCTCGCAACAGCAGGCCCAGCCTTAGCAGACTGCAGCCTACACAGCTTGTAACTTATCACTGCACAATACCATTATGCTGCCAACTTACTGTCTCTAAATGTTATAATGATTAGAATAATGTGACTGTCGATTGCTATTAAGCCTAGTATAGCTAAGAACACCGACTATAACAAAATAAATGATCGCTGTATAGGCTCCATGTTATACCCATGTTATAGCAACTGAGTTACTAACACCAGCCTAGTAAAATTAACGCTAACGGAACCTTAATGTACAAAATGCCTAACTAGCATGACTCAAGCATATACCTATATATCAAATTAGTGCACTGTACTAACATACCCCAATGCTCTCAATACTGTGTAACCAATGTCTCGAAATGTGCATGCGGATTGCCTTTGGGGTACCTCATGCCTGTATGTTACCTTCATATGCGCTGCAAAAAAAAAAAAAAGTGTATTATGTCTGAATTTGGGTCATTCGATTGATTGTCCAAAATCCTGATTTCCAATCAACCACATAGACTAATCATGAAAGAAACAAGATTGTTCGCTTTGAATCATGTTTGAGTTCCGCCTGTGGTACCAAAAAGAATAAGATGATTAATGGCTAGGAGACAACTACTAAATGTTTATTTTACTCACACATCAAGTAAGAAGTGGCCAATAGAGGGGGAAAAAAGGAGGAGCAGTCAAATAAATCTATATATATTTATATACATATCTATACTTATATATATTAATTAAATGTATAATATCTTATTGCTCTTCTTATTTTTCCTTTATTGGAAACAAATAGCGCCTATAAGTGTATTACAAAATATGCAACTAATATTCATCCTATGCATATATTGTACAGTACACTATTCCATTTTCCCCCCCTTTTGGTTCATCTGATTCATTTTACCAAATCTTTTTCGGCAGAAAAAAAAGTCCAAGTGTCCAAGTCTGGATATCTTTTTCATCTAATGAAATTCTGAAACTTGCCACTGCAAATCACACCCTGATATGTGACCTCGGGGATGGATAAGACTGTGTCACCTTTTGTTGCCCTGCCTCTAAATCACCTTGCAGCATCTGACATTTCCTAGTCACATGGGAACATGCTAGTTGCTGCATAATACTGTGTGCAGATGTCAGTGGACTTCATATTGTAGTCTTTATCACTATGGCAATGGCATTGCAGCAAAAGTTAAGGCTATTAAAAAAAAATGAATACATTTCCTAGTAAGTGAAAACAAGTTAATATAATGAATGGTTGGTTGAATAGGAGAAGACACACGGTGTATGGTGGGGAGGTGTGGAGAGACACAAAGATTTAATAGTGGAAGAACAGTGTGAAGGAGTCATGGGGAAAGGACACAGGGGTGGTTGGTTGGGGGATGAGGAAAAAACCTAGGTATTAGAGCATAGAGATAGACACAGGGCTAAGTGGTGGGAGCACGGACAAAAAAATTGTAAGGAAACATGTGAAGAACCAAGTGGTAAGAACATTAAGAAATAGGCAAGAGGAAGGAGTCATCAAAATAGACATATGTGTCAGGGAGCATGAGAAAAGACACAGGTCTATCACTGGTAGGGGTCATAGATATATATAAAGGGAAACAAGAATATGGTGCATGGGCGAAAATTAAAAGAAGAGGAAACTTGAAAAGACATATTATTCCTGCATGAAACATAAGCGTAACCCCCTTGCTGGGTTTAATTGATGCTATAAATTTATATTCCACCTTTTTACACTCTATTAAGTTTGAAAAGGGCTCTCAAATTAAAAAAGCAAATATGTTTCTCAAAACCAATTTGAGACAATTACTCTAAAACGCAAAAGACAGGAAATGGCGAAGTTCGTGCTAAGTTGATTTTAAGAAAAATGATGATCTAATGGATAACGTTATGAATAAGGCAATTAGCAAAACTGGATAATTTAACATTGGCTTTAACAATCATTGTTCTGTGTATAGTTATACTTACACATAGCACAATGGTAGAATACTTCAGTAATGAAATCATCTTTAGTCTAGGCATTTTCCAATAATAAAGTGATGTATTTAGCTTTTCTGAATTCAGTCCACACTAGTCTATGCAGCCTCCATACACTTAAACTAACACATCTCAAGTACTCACATATCCAAGCATGTAATGTGTCAGTGTATGTGTGTATGAATCACTATGCATAGGTGTCATTTTTTGAATGTTCATGTGTGTCATGATGTCATATGAACACATTTGTATGTAAATGGTAATATGTGCAGCATGTGTGTGTCTGTAAAATGCATCCGCATTGTGAGTTGCATGTGTTTTTGTTTGTGTGATATGTGTGATCATGTGTGATGCATGTTTTTCTAATGCTTGCGTAATGTAAGTGATCCATGTATGTTTAACCACAGGGCCACACATAGATGGTTGACAAAAATAATTTAAAATGGCCAGTCTGCTTTATAGAAGGGAATGTTATTTAAGATTTTAATTGTAATTAGTCAAACATTAAATATAAAGAACATAAATAATGTTATTTAACATTTTAATTGTTATTGGTCAAACATCACTAAAATTTCTACATTTGTAGAAATGTAGAGATTAATTAAACATTTCACACCAACACCGTGTTACTTCTTTACATTCTGTCTGTGGTACACACTACACATCAATTAATCATTCATTCCAGTGAGGATTTATGCTTACACAGAATTGTCAAGCATGAACTATTGATTTTATGTGTGAGTCTGTGTGTTAATGCCTGATGTATTTAAAAAACCTTACTAGCAATATGATTGGGAGATACCCAGGAAGCTTTGCTGATTTGCAATATGGTCAGGGCTAGGTGTAATCACATCAGGGAATATCCCCTGATATCAGCAGCAACATTTTACAGTAGACTAAATGCTATATAGAGAGAATGACCCAGAGCTACACCACTTTCATACACAATTCCAAAAACAATGACACATCAACTATGAGGTCATCAACATATTGCAATGTAATGGGCAGGATAACCCATGAAATCAGGAGGTTTACTAGAGACACTGATGCAACTATGTACCTTAAAAAAAGGGGATAAACATCAAATATCATTGGACAGACAAAACAGCAAGATAGACAGACACATAGATGATAGATAGATACAATATAACACAATATATTATGCACTGTCATTTCACCCATATATATATATGACATCATACTGCAGCATGGCTCATATTTTCTCTAACAGTATGTAATTTCCAGCTGGTGTAAAGTCCCATACTGACTGATGGTTTATAAATGCAGATATTATGGACCCATCCTTTCACATCTCCCCAGCTCCATCCCTCTCCTCCTCCCCAGCCACCAATTATCTTACCGACATGAGTGATCACTGAGGATAGCCTCTCTGTTAACTCCTGGTGCGACATCTCTTCTTCCTTCAGCCAAAAAAGCATTTCACAGTAAGAGGGAGATGCTGGCTGCCCGTGCCCTCCAGCCTGTGTGCCTGCAGTGAGCCGGTGTGTGTAGGATACAAAGCAAGGCAGTGAGTGCCACTCCCAGCTCAGCCAGGCAGCCCCAGCTCTATACCTGTCACTAGGCAACGCTCACAGCATCCAGGCACCAAGCATGCTTGTCATTCCACTGATGGGAGCAGAGCCAGATTAAAGCAGCGATGGTGGAAATATGGGTTGGTTTTATTATAAATGGTGCTGGTGGTGGCTGGCTATCCTCTGCTTCTCATACTGAGCCTCTTTCTTTCAGACGCTGAACAAGCCCTGTGCATCATTGCAGACTCACTACCTGCCTATAGGGGCCATAAGATGGTGATACAAAGGAAATCATGGACTGCTGGAGCCTGAGGACTGGAGTGAGCAAAGAAAGGAGCCAGGGGTCACATGTCCTCTATTACTCACCAGATTCTATGTTCAGTCTGAAATAAAATATCTAATCTATTAATCTCTCAATCTCTCTATCTATCTATCTATCTATCTATCTGTCTGTCTATTTATTCATCCATCCCTGGTTAGATAGGTAGGTAGGTAGGTAAATAGATAGAATATATATTAAGCGTAAATTCTCACATATAAAGAGATAGATAGATACTTAACCTCCATGCACAGTTACCTTTTTACTTCTGAATTTGAACACATCCACCTAATTTACTAAACTCCCAATGCTCTCAGTCTGCATTATCAAAAATAATTCAGTGCCATCCGGAGCATTTGGACTACAAAATCGTCTATTGTTCTCAAGATTTTCCATAGTTGATTCTAAATTAGCTTGAATGTAAAACCAGATTCCAGTCTGTCCAGATGCAAATGAATGAGTGAAATCCAGAACCAAATATGGAAATTCACTTTGCATACTCATATACACTGATGGTTAAATAGAATTGATAGTTGTCAGTCTGTAAATTCTGCACATATGAATTTTAACAATTTTATTGTACTGAATTTACAGGCAGACATTGTTTGAAAAAAAAAAAAAATACCACTGTTTGTATTGATAACTGCGTGCGAAAGGGTTAACTCCACTGAGAGGTACAAGATACACTCATGACTAAAACATTCTTCTACCTATAGCCAGTACATCTTGGTGCTGTAACTTGGCTATGGTAAAATTTGTGATTCACAATTTTCCAAACAGCCATATAGAGTAATCATGAAAGAAATTTACAAACATGTTGTATCATGTATTCTATATGTATATATATATTGTATATTTTACCACATTAAGCTATATAGGGCTGACTTTGTGTGTGCGGTGACAGAGGGTGACTGTTTGTATGGGGGAGAGAGAGTATGTGTATGGGGGTGTCTGTGTGTGTTTATGGAGGTGACTATGTGTGTATGGGAGTGACTATGTGACTATGTGTAAGGGGCTGTCTGTGTATGTGGGGTGACTGTGTTTATGTGCCCAGACTCCTCACACAATATATATTTACACACTTGAGGTCTGTCTGGAAAAAGTCCACCCATTGTTAATATAACAAGAACGGTTTGAGTGACATCGATGTAACCTGGCAGCCAAGGCAAGTGGACTGGAATACACATACGTGAACAATAACGACTTCACTGTAGTAGTCAGTGGGTGCACTAGACACTGTTGAGTGAGCATGTGTACTGCGTGGCCATTACATTGAGAATTACTGAGTGAGTAGAGCAATGAATCTGCATTAAGCTTAAACTATTCGGCTGATTCAGAAGGTTTTCAGGGACGATGCAATGAGTGCAGCACAAATAAAAGTGTGGCACAAAAAATGGTCGAGAATCAGTTGAAAGATTTGGCCCCCTTCGACTTCTGGCTTTTTTCAAAACTAAAATGACCTTTGAAAGTTAAGAGATTTCAGACTATCGATGAGATTCAGGTAAATACGATGAGGCATCTGAAGGCGATTCCAACAAAACACTGGGAGATGCTGGGAGAAATGTCTAACTGGTATACCAGTGGGGCTCTAAACATTCTCCCTGATGGTTTAGTGGTTCTGTGCTGCAGGTCTGTACCTCCAGCTCCCTTCCATTCTGTGACTGCGAGGGTACATTAGCAGTAATCTGTACCCAGTGGAGGTACAGACATTCCGTTCTCTCACAGCTGCAGGTGAGCACAGAGACAGTGAGGAAATATTTAGATCTCCTCACTAGCATGAGTAGAGGCAGTGCACACCACAGAACTGTAATAGTAAAGTGGCTCTGTCTCTAATATGACACTGAGCTCCTGAATTTGGGCTTTTGAACACACCAGGGAGGAACTACATTTTATGCCAGGATCCAGACCTGAAGCAGGGTGGAGAGGAACCTCTGGGACATTACCATTGCCATTTAAGTTGGTCTTCAAGACCTATTTGCGTACTTCTTCAGCCACTTTGGTGGCTATGTGTTTGTGAGTGCTTTGAGTATTCTATTCTTTATACACCCTGTAAATGATTTTACACTATGGTTGTCTTTATGTTTTATAAGTGATTAAAGTTTAGAAAAGAATTAAAGAGTTATTGGATTGTCTAAAATTGGCACGGGGCGGGGCAAAATGCCGTTTTGGCTAATCAGGACCTCCTCATAGAGATGCATTGAATCAGTGCATCTCTATGACGAAAATTCAGCGTCTCCATGAAGAGCGTGGGGACGCTGAACGGCAGAGCTGATTACTGTGCAGCCCTGAGCCAGGAAGCCCCTCCAGTAGCCACTTGGAGGTGTCCCTAGGGGCAATATAAACACTGCCTTTTCTATGAAAAATGCCTGAAGGGAGCTATTATATTCACCAGCACAACTACATTAAGCTGTAGTTGCTCTGGTGACTATAGTGCGTGGGATAGGCATAAGTCTATCCTAGACTTAAGATAATGCCAGGGACTAATGAAAGTATTTAGAAAATTGGGCAGACTAGATGGCCCTAGGGTTCTTATCTGCTGTCACATTCTATGTTTCTATGTTTCTATCTGTCATATCATCATTGGATTGATATTACACTGAAGACTGCTTATTTATGTAAGCACCATTTTGTGTTTTATGTGTGTTTAATACAGTGGTTTGGGAGTTGAACTTATGTGTTGGTGGTATTAGAGGGGGTGTCTATTATACTGTTTTTTCTATCTCTAATAGGAGCAGACTGGTCACAGCAAAGAGGGTGTTAATTGCAAACAAAATTAATTTGCAATTATTACACTTGCAATTGGTAAAATCATCTATATACGACTCCGGGATATGCAAGTTCTGGTTTGAGGGGTTGTCCATTTGCCCACTGGCTGCTTGCACTTCTAATGAGAAAATATTTTTCTGTAAGTTTGCCAGCAGAAAGCAGGTAATTTTATTTTGCAAATTTGACTTTTATCGGATTTGTTCAGAGTTTTTGATAAATATGTAAATTCTATCATTGATATATGATTCAAATATGAGAATTACAGATTTTAAAGCATATACTGAATATAAATTACAGATTTGTCATTATAAAAGGGTAACTCTAAACCTTTTTCATTAACTATTTATATTAATATACAATTTCATATCGGGCATTAGTAATTAAGTCCCCTTTAAAACCAGTTTGAAACTTACCTGGAATCCAGCACTAGACCAAGGTCCTTTTGCTGGTTTTCACACATCCGCCCAACATTACTGCTTCTTTTGCAGGGTTTTACAAATAAACATTTGATTGGACTGCTCTCACTGGCTCAAAGTGCATGCACATTCTCTAAACTGGGGAGAGAGAGGTGGGGATTGGACAAGGGAGAGAGGGAGGGGATATTAAAAAAAAAAAAAAAAGTTGTATTAGCCATTGACAGAAACAGCAGGGAAGACTAATAAAAGGAATGGAGGAGGGTACACTGCCTGCAAGGGTAGAAACTGATAATATCTGTGGTATGTGCTCAGTAAGATAATTGTTGCACATAATTGACCACTTCATCTCATTGAAGTGGTGTGGATGCAGTGTCCATATCCTTTTAACCCATCAATGTAAAACTGCAGTTTCAGAGAAATGGAGAAGGTCCCATGGAGAAGGTCTTAGGAGTGTACAGTGCTTGCAGTGCATGCCCATTAGGTTCCCTACATCAGCATGACATCACTGGAGGAGATTGATCCAGCGCTGAGGGACATCAGCACTGGAAACAGGTAAGTGAAAAAAGTTTTTTTAAACCTTTTTATTACCAGGGAGGGGGGAGGAGGCAGAGAAACACTATAGTTTAGGAATACAATTCTATATACCTAATTCTACAGTGTTCCTTTAATTCATGTGCACCAGAGGTGCAACTAGTCCCAGGCACAAAGGTGAAGATATCTCAGTATTTGCAGAATCTCAGACAGAAATGCTGCACATACAGACTCCACCACCGTGACCACTTCTTAAAGCCCAAGTGGTTATGATGGTTAGAATAAACCATTAAATATGAAAGTCACATTTTTAAGATGTTTGCTAATCTGGACTGCATTCACTCTATAGTGAATAACCCTGTTTACTGTTTATTGTTGTGTGGAATTGTACTGAAACCCAAATTGCAAAATTCTGTCTAAATTGTCATACTTAAACAAAAAGTGGAATTAGGGGCATAAGCAGAGTATGCATTTCTCAGCAGTGGTGCTGCCGTAAAAATCCAAATTTAAACAAAATGCAGATTAAAGAACAGCACGCACACAAAAATACAGTTTTACATTTTGCAAGGTTACTTAAATCATCTATCTCACTAAACAAAAAAAAAACAGTTGTTCCAAATGTCCATATTGTGTCAAGCCCATCACTACGTCACAGTACCCCAATATCGGAGGGTCCTACATTTCTTTTAATTGTTGCATGATATGTATTCACAATGCTCTTACAACAGATTAACTAAATGCACTTTATTTAATTTAGTACTATCACTATTTAATTTGTCTCCCACATTAAAATTAGTGTAGGACCTACCAATAATGGGGTACTGTGAGGTACAAGTGGTCTTAACACAGTATGGTCATATGGTGGAACTGTACCCCGGTATTTGTTTTCTGAGATAGGTGATTTTTTTGTGTGCACTGTTTCTTAACCTGTATTTTGTAATAATGATGATGGTTGAGTAGGATAATTTTTCCTATTCACTTAGTTTGGCCTGAATTTATCAGTTTTCAGGTGCCTAATGAAAAGACCATAAAAAACAACAAGGAAGTGTGAGAAATTGTGGAAAACTAAATATTTGAAGATAAAAAAGCTTATAATGAATTAAAGTGTAACTGGGAAAAAAAATAATTCAATTGTTTAAAAAGTGCAATTCAATTGTGAATTCTCCACAGTACCCAGTTTAATAACCGCAGTAGGGTTCTCTTGATTCCAGAAACAAAGTGTTGAGACATGTTTGGGAGATTCCAGTCAGGAAAGATCAATATTAAAGTTAGGATAGCAAGTGATTAAATTGGCAAAATTGAAAAACAACATAAACTGTATCTACATATAACCACATAATGCTAGTATGTAGCACTGCAAGCAAACTGGTATTTAAATAAACACCAATACAGCAGTGCAAGAACTAAAATAATAATGAAAATGTTTTCAGCTGCCTCATTTGATTGCATGAAAGGATCTGGTCAGCTATGCTTAGCTCAGTATTTTACCTTCTGGCATATAACGGGTTTGTTGAAGTTGGTGAGCAGCAGCTGTGTGTGGTTACATATCATCAGGACCTGCACCCTAGGGGCCTGTCCATCCTTACAGTTACTAGATTTCAGTGTTAATAATGGCGCCGTACTGCATTAGACATGAGCACAGATGGTAAACAAATGATGTGAAAAATGTAAAAAATCATGCTAAGCATGAGGTTTGAATGTTGTAATCGAAGTGAAACATAAATAAATAAACACAAGCAGAAATTTTCAATCAAAATGTTTATTTAATAACTTTAGTGATACACCTTGGAGAATGGCCGTGGACCTTTATTATGGATTTCATAATTCCTATTAAACCATAACCATATGAATAATAATAAACCATAGCTTTAAAACCAACATATTAAACCACTTTCCAAGGCTCCGCCCCCTCCAAAGCCAGGAGCCATAAATATCTCTTCAACCAAATCCACCAAATCCACCCGCCTGTGATGACCAGGAGGGCGACTTATATCCCATAATAAGGTCACGACATAAAATAAATAAAAGGGGGAAGGGTGGGTGGGAACAGCAGCTTAAATATTTTAATATATAGCTAACCTTCGGATTTGTCTGGCACAATCTGAGGCAATTAATTTGGCGCCCTCCAATTTATATCCCCTATTTTCCCTCCAATATTGCCCTCGCGCTGCTATCTACCAATCAGGGCTCATGCCCTGGTCGCGAGCTTGCCGCCTTAACTGCCAGCGCGAGCTGCCTTGTATTTAACCCTAACCTGCATTTAACCCCTAGCGCGAGCGCTATACTTACCCACTTCGCTCCATCAAACCTCATGGGGCTTCTCCTTAAGCAGTCCGCGTGCCCGACATGAGGTTTGAATGTTGTAATCGAAGTGAAACATAAATAAATAAACACAAGCAGAAATTTTCAATCAAAATGTTTATTTAATAACTTTAGTGATACACCTTGGAGAATGGCCGTGGACCTTTATTATGGATTTCATAATTCCTATTAAACCATAACCATATGAATAATAATAAACCATAGCTTTAAAACCAACATATTAAACCACTTTCCAAGGCTCCGCCCCCCTCCAAAGCCAGGAGCCATAAATATCTCTTCAACCAAATCCACCAAATCCACCCGCCTGTGAGGGCGACTTATATCCCAACGCCACCGAGGTTCTGGGCTACCAAACTCGGTGGCCCCCCAACGCCCACGGCCATCTCCAACATGGATTGAATCTCCAAATTAAATATATCCAAACCAATATCCGACAAGTGAACTTCATCGCTCCTATAAAAGCCAGCGCAATTGCCCTCAATATCCCTGTGTCTATATGAGGTCATTCCCAGGGTTGGTAAAAATTTTTCCAACGCTCTATTTACTTTCCTACGTACCCTTTCCAATGGTTTTAAAAAACTTACTTTTAACCAGCAATGCCTTGGGATAATCTCCGACCATATGAACCGAACATCTGGAAATATTTGCGTTATGCATACCAAATCACTTTTAATCTCTTTTATCAAATTGACCGATTTCGTTGAGCCAATATCGTTCCCTCCCAAATGAACTATTACTACCTCTGGATAGGGAAAACTTAACATGCATTGTTGTATTATTTCAAATAATTGAGACCACTTAGCCCCACGAATTCCTTTCCAAAAGACTTTAACAGCATTGCTTTCTAATCCGAGATTTTCGCCATATGACCGTTCATTTGCCCTCTTCTGGGCCCAAAATATAAATGAATGACCGATTACCCAGGCAATCGCCGGCTTCTTATTACCTAGCAAAAGAAGATTATTAACATATATACGCCAATGTTCATATACATCCATAAACTTTAATAACAAAGAACCGTTAACGTTTTTTTTTTTTATATCAAATGAGGCCTGACGTATAATTGAAATCTATTAGACTCCCATCTCCCCAACCTTTGAATCATTCCATCACTTAAACCACACCTTGCTGCTTCTGTTGCCGCTCCAATTCTAAAAGAATGAGATGAATAACGCTCATCGCCTAACTTTAACTTGTCTATGCACAACTTGAAGACCTTTTTAAATTGGAACTTAGTCAACGGAACGGTGTCCTTATGCATGAAAAAAGGACCTTCAACCCTTGGTCTAATTGACAAGTAATTTTCTGTCACCTTAACCGGACACAAAAAAGAACCTTTAATCTCCAGCAATGTTAACCATCTTCCTTTGCCTTCCTGATCTGTTTTAGATTTTCTAATGAATACCATCACTTTCCTATCATTAACTATAATATCTTCCCATTGTAAACCTGACAAACAAAACTTACTCTTAGCCACTAACTCGCTAATTCTTAACGCTGCGAAAAAAGCTATTATAAATGAACATCTAATTAAAACTACCTCATACTCAGAATAACATACTTCCTCCAGGACTACAAATAACTGTGATAGCACCTTAAACGATATTGGTTTTCTGTTATCCCTTACT